GCCCTTCCCCAGACGTGAGAGCGCGGAGATTCTGGACACCGCCGGCGGACAGAACACGTGTGGGTGAGCACCACGCCCCCCGCCCCGATTCCCCTCTGACGCGGCTCCGCGTGGGGGCCACGCACTTGCTGCTGGCCCGGGCCCAGCACACCCGAAGCCCTGGTGAAGGGGAGGGGAGAGGCCTCAGCACTGCCGCAGGGCCTGGGCCGCCGGCGCGTGGACGAGCAGAGGCTGCCAGGCCTGCGTGCAGGGACCGCGCTGACGTTCAGGCACGAGCAGGAGTTCGAGAGAGTTCAAGGACGCGGAACAGGAAGGTGCTTGCTGGTGGATTCGCCATCAGTTCGGCCATGAAACATCCTGGGTTTCCCAGGGTGGCCGGAGGAACGATGTCCTGTTGTGATTTCAAATGCCCTCCGTTGTGGGGTGACGCCAGTTACTTGTCTCATTTTTTCACGTGTTGCCTGGGGGGATGGATTACGACTCTGTGCCTGACCTTCACTGTGACCTTCACCACGGGATGTGAGGTCTGCTCTCGGATGCGCATGTTGTATGGTTCTCCCTTTACCCCCGCCCCTCCCCCAGGTGCTCTTGCTTCAGGGGAGGGTCCCTGCCTGTGCTGATGCGTCCCAGGGTCCGTCCCTGGGTCCTGACAGCGCGGCAAGGAGGCAGCACTCAGTCTGGATAATTCCTGGGAATGACTGGTCCTGACCCTCCTCTGCCTGAGCCTCCTGGAAGGTGGCAGCAGGGGCGTCGCTGAGGACGGGCTGCGGCCGGTTCTCACTAGTGAGAACACACGGCCTCGGGCGTGTCTGGAGAACATGCAGCACGTACGTGCGGACGGAAGCAGTCACAGTGGCTGCTGACCCCTGTGCACCAGGGGCTGCTGAGCTCGTCACACATTTCTCCAGAGCCCAGCAGCCCAGGGCGACAGGAGCGGTGCTGCTCCTCATTCACACATGGGACACTGAGGCCCAGAGGTTAAACCGGAGCCCAGATCATGCAGCCCCTGCGTGGTGGTGGAGTTCAGACGGGCTGGCTGGCTCCGGGTGGGGCGCGCTCGCCCAGGTGCCGTGATAACGGCATGAACGCTTCAGGCGTCTCCTCTCGAGGACCCTAGCGCCCTGTGATTCTGCTCCTGCCAGGGGCCGTTTGGCAATATCCGGGGACATTCTGGCTTGCCGTTGAGTGTGGGGGTGCTGCTGGCATCTCGTGGTGAGGGAAGGGGCTCTGCTGAACACCCTGCCGTGCACAGGGTACCCCACACCCAGGCATTGTCTGGCTGCCATGTCAATAGTGCCGAGGCTGAGAAATCCTGTTAGAGTAACATGTGCTCATTCTTTCTTTCCTTTCTTCTTATTGTTATTTTTAATCCTCACCCAAGGACACTTTCGCATTCATCTTCAGATAGAGCGAGAGGGAGAGAGGAAGAGAGTGAGAGAGAAACATTGATGCGAGAGAGACACATCGAGTGGTTGCCACCCACACGACTCCAACGGGGCCGGGGACAAACTGCAACCGAGATACGTGCCCTCAGCGCAGTGGTTCTCAACCTTCCTGATGCCGCGACCCTTCAACACAGCTCATGTTGTGGGGACCCCCAACCATAACATTATTTTTGTTGCTACTTCATAACTATCATTTTGCTACTGTGATGTCTTAGGCGACCCGTGACAGGGTCATTCGACCCCCAAAGGGGTTGCGGCCCACAGGTCGAGAACCGCTGTAGCGGGAACCGAACCCAGGCCTCTCTGGTCCGTGGGCCGACGCTGTATCTGCTGAGCCAGACTGGCCAGGGCCATTTTATCATTTTTGATGAGAATAATGCAATACTGAACTTATGTCTTGGCATACTGTCCTCAGCTCTTACTAACGGAGAAAAACCAGTTTGTGGCCCTTCGACAAGGACAGTGTGGTCACAGCGTCCCTGTCCCGGGCTCGAGCCAGGGTCTGTTCTTCCTGTTGTCTGTGCTCGTCACAGAGAGAGGTGATCATCATGTGGCCCAGGACTTCGGCTGCCCGAGCTGGTGTCGCTCTGGATGGGCTGCCGAGGGAGCGCGGGAGATTCCAGAGAAGCCTGGAATGGAGGAATGGAGGGAATGGAGGGCGCTGGGGGAATGGAGACCGTCGCCTCGGGGGAATGGAGACCGTCGCCTCGGGGGAATGGAAACCGTCGTCTCGGGGGAATGGAAACCGTCGCCTCGGGGGAATGGAAACCGTCGTCTCTGGGGAATGGAAACCGTCGTCTCGGGGGAGGGAGGTGTGCGTGGTGGGAGGACGCGGAGTCGGAGCAGTGCTGACGGTAGGGCGGTCCCGGACCCGACCGGAGCATCGGAGACATGGTTGAAGGGAACGAGGGGCCGGGGGTCATGCTCTGTGCCCGCTCTGTGCATGATGAATACGTAAAGTAATCAGGAACCGTCATATCTCACTGTCACAAGCCACACTCGGAGGGTTCCTGGGAGTTGAAGATTCCTTTAGGGACTAGTCTCAGCGCCTGGCAGGTCGTGGGTGCTCGGTACGCACTCGTAACCGGAGTGAACGGGGAGGGGGTGTGGATGAGGCCACCAGGGTCTGCTGTCCCTAAGCCAGCTCCGCGGGTGCTCCCCGGGAAAGAGGGGGATCCTCGGAAGATTCTGCTCCGGAGGCTGTGCCCGGCTCTCTCTGCTAAAGCTGATGCGTGCGCCCCGAGGCCACAGTGCGCCCCCAAGAGAGGTGGCTGAGCACCCCGCAGAGGTCACGAGCTCTTACGAAGGGTCCCTGAGGAGCGCTGTCCAGCTGCCCCAGCGGGAGGCCAGCCGAGCGCCGCCACTGGCCGGGTAGATAGAAGCCAGGGTCTCCCTGGAGGCCAGCGGCGAACCACCCCAGACCCAGCACGCGGAGAGCAGCCCTCTGGTTTCTGCCGCCCACGTTTAGCAAAGGCTGAGGTTTTGCCAAATTTATCATTTTTAGCCTTTTTTTAAAAAGAAAGTGAGCCTCCTGGTGGCCTCTCTTATCAGAGTTGGGTGAGTGACCCGAAGATTCCGGAGCACAGGGGTGGCCTGGGCTGTCCGTGCACGTCCTCTCGTGACCCGGGAGCCTGTCCTTGGACCCCGGGCATCCGCGGGCCAGCCAGACACTCAGGTTCCAGCTTCTGCAATCCCCCCCCCCCCCAACTGGAGAGAGCCACGCCCCCCGCCGCTCCTCGCTGACACACAGAAGTCCCTACTGCCCTGTCCTTTAGGGGCGTGCCTCTGTTGTGGAAAAATGGAAGAATCTGGCTCTCCCCATCCAGCCGTAATCAGAACACATGAGTGGTTGGTTGTGCTGTTGTGAACAAGGGAACAAGAACTGGGTTTGGTGTTTCTAGCGATTGCTGGACTTGTTAGTGGGCACACACCCCTTCCGTCCACGTGTCTGTCGGAGCACATCAGGGCACGAGCCATGGCCGCGGGAAGCCTCGAGTCTGCGGGCGTCGACGTTAGCAGAGTCGGTTTGTTTTTTTTTTGTTTGTTTTTTTATCCTCACCCGAGGACATTTTTCCATTTTTTGTTCAGATAGAGTGGGAGGGAGAGAAAGGAACAGAGAGAGAGAGAGAGAAACATCGATGTGAAAGGAACACATTGAGTGGCTGCCACCCGCACGACCGACCAGGGCCGGGGACAAACCGCAACCGAGGTACATGCCCTTAGCGGGAACCGAACCCGGGTCTCTCTGGACCGCAGGCCGACGCTCTAACCGCTGAGCCAAACCGGCCAGGGCAGCAGAGTCGGTTTGTATCAGCAGCCGTGATGATGCTGTATCTGTGGCTCTCCTGCCTGCCCGTCACGGGCCCTGCTTGAGCCCGTCGCTTTGCTGAGGGCTCGCTCGTGCTAGGCACCGTCACGAGCCCTGGGTCGTGTTACAGCTCCTCCTCGGGCCTCTGCCGATGACAAGCAGGTCTGGAGAGCGCCCTCAGGTGGCAGAGCCATGGCTCAGATCGTCGGCTTCTGAACCAGTCACTAACTGAGGGCCACTCGCCACTGTTCTTCGGGTTCACAGGATCATGAAGTGGGGTACGGTCCTGGGAGCAGTTGGCTGTCTTCCCAGTGCCCTCCGACTTGACCTCTGTCATCTGAGGTCGGTGAGGCGCGGCTGCCCCCACCACAGATGGGGACTCTGCAGGCCAGACAGCTAAGGTTGGGCCGGACCCTGAACCAGGGTCTTTTGAAAACAAGCGTCAACCTTCCGCCCTGGGTTCATCGTGATCTCTGCCCTCCTTGGTTGCCCTTCTGCCCAGCACTAGGCCAGGTTAGCTTGTTTCCCCCTATGGCCTCCGAGCCTGCTCCCAGGGTCTCGGCTGTTAGACAGGACAGCCTGCAGTGCAGCTTCTGAGCAGTTCCGGAAATTACATCATTTCTGTGTTGTTTTTCGCATTTTTCAAATTTATTCATTGGAGAGAGAGACAGAGAGACTGACTTGGTGTTCTGCTTATCTCTCATTCACTGGCTGCTGCTTGTGGGAGCCTGCTGGGATGGGGCCTGCAGCCTGGGCGAATCAGGACGACACTCTCCAGCCAAGCTCCTGGCCAGGGCGGAACTTTGATGGTGTTGAAACTGTTGACCAGTTTTCAGGTTGCGTGTAGACTTCAGCCTGCTCCTCACAGCAAATGCAAGGACAGCAAGTGGGCATCCCCAGCTCCTGTGCAGCCTGTCCCTGGCCCTCCATTCTGGGCAGAACTGTGCCTCTGTCGGCACCTGTCGTGTTTCTGTTGTTTCGGGGGCGGGCGTGATCTTCCTCAGGTCAAGCCACACCGAGGTGCGCAGGGAGACACGGGCCTCTCCGCATAGTGCAGGGAACACACCCGTTTCATACGCATCTGTCGGGCCGCGGTTGTGCTTCAGGGTGTGGACTGATACTGTGTGTTAAAGATCTGTGTACACACGTCTGTGTCTGCGGCGTCGGTGAGGGTTCTGCTGGGATGGAGACGGCGAGCGAGTCGTGTTTACTGGCTGCTAACATCCGCTCCTTCTGGTTGCTTTGAGGTCGCGGCTGCTCCCTGGTGGTTACCTGTCAAAGGCGCCAACTGGAGACACCCAGAAGGGCCCGACTCCACGGTCCTGCACAGGTGAGGCCCTGGCTCTTTCCCCAGTGGACGTTTTCATTCCGGAACAGGTGCCAGGCTGCTGCAGGGACTCTGTGCTGTCCTCACCTGCAGGGGCGAGAAGGGTCCACCTGGGTTGGTTTGCAGAAGAGACGGCAGGAAACAACACATTTACGTAGACCTGACCCTGCACCCGCTCTCGGGAGGCGCCTAATGCCTGGCCTCTGTCCTTCCTCATTTGTCCTGTCCAGAAGTCGCCCTTGTGGCCCCGGCCAATGTGGTCCAGCGGTTAGAGTGTCAGCCTGTGGACCTAAGGGTCGCAGGTTCAATCCCCGGTTCCAGTCCAGGTTGCGTGGGAGCAACCAATCGACGTGTCTCCCTCACATCCATGTCTCTCTCTCCCCCTCCCTCCCTCCCACTCTATCTAAACATCAGTGGAAAAATATCCTCTGGTCAGGATTAACAAAAAAGAAAGAAAATAGAAAAGTTGCTCTTGTAGGTTTTTTCCCTGGACGGGCCAGTGACCAAGCTCATGACATGTTGACTCTGCATCCTGCCCATTGTTCCTCTGCGAGTGGGTCAGTGGGAAGACGGTGTCTGCAGGGGGCAGTGCGCCTGGCTCGGCCGGGTCCCTGTGGCCTCCGGTCCTGCAGACTCTCTGCAGGGGGCAGTGTGACCGGCTCGGCCAGGCCCCTGTGGCCTCCAGTCCTGCAGACTGTCTGCAGGGGGCAGTGTGCCCGGCTTGGCCGGGTCCTTGTGGCCTCCGGCCTGCAGACTCTCTGCAGGGGGCAGTGTGCCCGGCTCGGCCGGGCCCCTGTGGCCTCCGGCCCTGGGCTGACACACTTCGCAGCTGCCATGTGACCGAAACCTGCAGAGCGGCAAGTCGGCCAGCACGTCTCCGGGGTGCGAGGAAATAATTATCTCGAGCGAAAATAGAGGAGTATTAGACCCCGGAGGTGGAGGAAGCTTGGGTCAGGACTCAGCATCTCAGGAGCCCAAGGAAACTGCTCTCCTAACCCACTTCTTCTGGTGGCACTTGGGGCCTCGTCTGTGCCCGCGTTCCTGGTCATCACCCTCGTGGTCAGGGAGCCGGCATGTGTGAGCGACGGGGGTCCATCAGAGGCTGAGGTGGCAGCTCCGCCATGGACAGGCTGGGGGGTGGCAAGTCAGAGGATCCTGGGGTGCCTGAGCCTGTTGGTTCCCCGTTAACATCTTTCCTGAATTCCGCTTAGAAGCAAAAGCTGAGGGGAGAAGGAAACCAGGGGGCGTGCCCTGACCTCTGAGTCTGGCCTCTGAGAGGACACCTCTCACAGGCCACATGCACGGTGGCCCCCGGCAGGCCCCTGGGAGCCTGTGGGGAGGATCCGCTGCGTTCTGCAGGGTGACGGGGGAGCCCACTGGGAGTGTCTCATCCACGTGAACGGCAGGCAGTCAGGCTGTGGTGCTGGGAATGTTGGTGTCCCCTCTTCACACCCCAGGCCTCTACCCTCTGCACCCTAGAAACAGGAGGCCTGGGCTCTGGAGGGAGGCAGGTGCGCTGCCCCTCTGTGGACGGAGACGGAGTGCAGCCAGGTGTCACGGCCGGGGCTCTGGACACGTGCTGGGACAGTCGGTGCCCAGTGCTCCCGGGTGTGGACGCCTGTGGGAGGGGCGGGCAGGGGTGAAGCCGACTGCCTTGTGGACTGAGGAGTCCCAGCCAGTCCCACAGGGGTCTTGGGGTGCACATGGTCCCCAGGTTTGAGCTGTGGCGGCCAGAATGGCCAGGCCTCCTGCCCCCGCTGCGGTCAGCCCTTGGTGGCTTTGAGCTGGCTCTTGGCGGCTGTGGGCCCGGAGGGGGCTGGGAGCTGGAGCACCCCTTCCTTAGAGGGGCCTGGGGACATCTCCAGAGCCACTGCCCCGCCGAGGTCCTCTGGGGTCTGGGCCTGCCCACGAAGTGTAAGAGGACAGACCACCCCTCGGGAGCCTGGGCGTCAGGATCCTGCGGTGGAGGGTGACGGGCGGGGCACGCCGGGGCTCACCTGGGGACCGGGGCATCAGCGTCACAGAGCGAGCTGAGGGTGACGGGCCCTGTGCCGAGCTGGTTCCCATGCCCTGTCCCAGTTCACGTCCCTCCTCACTCCGTGTCCCCAGGCTAGACCACCCGGTTCTCCACGTGTCCTGGAACGATGCCGTGGCCTACTGTGCGTGGGCTGGGAAGCGCCTGCCCACGGAAGCCGAGTGGGAGTACAGCTGCCGGGGGGGCCTGCACGACAGGTACGTGGGGCCCGTCCCGCCCGAGCGTGTGCCGACCTTCTGGATCTGGGGGGCTTGTTCTGGTCAGAAAGTCGCCCTGAGCCTGACGACCACGGCTCTCTTCCCGGGCTTCGCTCACGTCCACGGAGTTGCTCAGCGACAGGCCCGTGGTCACCAATGCCAGCTGGTGGACTCCCCGCCGTCCCCGGCACCGCCCGCCAGGCCCTGGTGCACCCCGGGCCTCTGTGCTCCGGCCCGGGGCGTGCTGCCCTGTGTCCTTGTGTCGGGGTCTCGCGTGCAGCGCCTGCTCCGCCTCTCGGCTGTGAGACGGAGACCTGTCTGGGCACCTCTTCTAGGAGAGGCCTGCGGTGCCTGACCGCCCTGCGCCGCTCCAGACCCGCGTAGGCCCCTGGCCTCCGGGTGTCCTCTGAGTTCTGCGCGGGCCTCCGGCGCCCCCCAGACGGAGGGGGTGGGGACTGGCTGTGGGCCGGCTGCGCAGACGTTTAACACCCCTGCAAGCAGCTTTGTCTGCTGCGTTCCAGACGTGAACCCGTGACGCACCCAGAGCGGGCGAGCGGGGCCGCTCCCTCGTGTCTGTCGTAGGAAGTGTTACGATGTCTCCCCTTCCCCACTGACCCGCTTTCTTGCGTCCCCGCCCCCCTGGAGGCCAGAAGCCTGCGTGGGCAGCTGAGCCTGTGTCTTTCCCGCAGACTCTTCCCCTGGGGCAACAAGTTGCAGCCCCGAGGCCAGCATTACGCCAACGTCTGGCAGGGCGAGTTTCCCGTGACCGACACCGGCGAGGACGGCTACCGGGGCACCGCGCCCGTGAGTAGGGCTTCGGGAGGGGCAGCAGCTCGGGGGACGGACGGGAGAGCTGGGGCACCCCCTGCCCCCGTGTCCATCACTGCGCGTCGTGAATGCTGTAACGCGTCAGGCAGTCTTCAGATGACGCATTTCCTTCCTGACTCCATGCACTTCCTGCAGAAACTTGGGGAAACGAGGGACAGAAGTCAGGGCCCTGACTCGGCCCCTCGGCCCCGTGAGCACCGGGTGCACCCAGGCTGGTGGTGGTCAGCAGCGCCGGCGGGGCTTGGCCGCATGCGCGGATGCTCTGTTCCGGGGCGCGGGTGCTGCTCTGCCTGCTCCCCAGGGGAGCGGCAGACACAGCTGTAGCCAGGTCCCTGTCTCCAAAGCCTGTGCTTACCCCGCAGGGGATGGCGTAGGGGCTCGGGGGTGCAGGCGCCTGCAGCTTTGACTTCGTGCGTTGGCTCGCAGTGAGCACAGTCCTTAAACCCTGTCCCCCGTCCCATCAGGACCGCGCGTCAGCCATGAACATTCCTCACAAACGTTCTGAGCAGCGAGGTCACCGTCACTGGCACGAGCCTCCCTCACTCACCTCCGGCTGCTGCAGGTGTAGGCAGGTCTGTCCTTTTGGTTAAGGTGGCAAAGCGAGTAGCATGTGGAGATTAGGTTGTATCTCTGGTAATGTTTTCAAGGTAGATTCCCAGCAGGAAACTAACAAGTCAGAGCCCAGAACACTTTCTCCGTGAGGGTCTCGGGCTGTGGCCCAGGTACTCTCCAGAACACCTGCGGCCGTCTCCTGCGGGCTCCTGGCTCACTGCTGCCCCCCACCGGCAGAGCCACGTGGCGGGGAGTGAAGACGGCCGTTCTCTCCTGACACAGGAGGAGGGAGTCTGGGAGGGGCGTCTCTTCACCTGGGGTGGTTTCCAAGGAGAACTGAGCAGGACCTGGTGATGGGACCACAGGGGAAGAGCCCCCACCTGGATGTCGTGAACTCCTGTGTCCCGCCCACTCTGGACCCAGCCAGCTGGCCTGACCCCCGTGGCCTGAGGCAGGGTTTGCCCTTAGGCAGGGGTCACTGCCCCGGGGGTCACTGCCCTTCCGCGCTCTCCTGAAAACAGGCCTGTGTGAGGATTTCTCCTGTTCATCTGTTTTCTTGAGGCTCCTGGGAGGAAGCCTTGGGCAGTGTGATCAGCTTCACAGTGAGCAGCTCAAGTCTGTATTCTTGGTGGCAGAGCCCACACAGTAACTGGGGGTGGTGACCCCCAGGTTTTACCTTGCATAAATATGAACGTTTCTAAAGGAAAGTGCCTCAGCCCTGAGTGGAGGTGTCTCCTCACCTGGCGGATGAGCACAGCGGGGGGTGGAGGGGTCGGCTCGCAGCTGCGGAGTGTGGGCCTGAGGACGTGCTCCGTGGCCGGGGCCTGCGCTGTGCACCTGCCAGCAGGGCCGCGCCCTCCGCCAGGGCTTCTCCCACCTCCCGAGCAACCCGACTTCTCCTTCCCACGCCTCCAGCCACTGCCCTCCTGCCCTCTGCTGGGCTCCAAGTCCCCGAAAGAACAGCTTGTGCCCGAGGCCCCTCCTCCCCTGCCCCTCTGCTTTGCATTTCTGCTCGGGGTCTGCCCACACCTGCCATTGTAGGGAGGGGCACCCAGCTGCACCCTCCTCCTGGGCTTTGGGGTGCGCCCCACCTTCCCCTGCTCATCCCACCCGCCTTTCAGAATTGGAGCTCTGCTTCTCTTAGTGTGCTCGTCCCTCCTTCATTAAGCTCTGTGGGGGTGGTGTCCCCGAGCTGTCAGTGGGCAGGCCTGGGGTTAGCGCGGGGCCGCCGAGGGGCTGAGGGCGCAGAGAGGGAACGCAGCCTCCCTCCCGACTGGGTTCTCGTCGGGGTCGGGTTGCCCGGCTCTGAGATGCCCCCGGAGCCCGTCGGACCTGGACCCGGAGCAGACAGCATGGACTCCACTTGTTATTCCTTTTAGACCCAATTCGCTGTAGGGGCAGATAAAACAGAACAAAACAAAAACCCAACGCTGACCCAATTTTCTTTGTTTAAAAAGTAAAATTTCTCTCTGAGCTTTTCCATTAAGAAACGCTGGAACAAATGTAAGTCACTGAAAGAGAAACTGTTCTGCATCGGCTGTTGCTCAGCTGAAGCTTTTCTCTTGCGCCTCCCTCCTCGTCCTAAGAGCTTACACCTCCTTCCGTCTGTGCCTCTGGGCAGGCCGACCCGCCGGGGGCACACTCCAGGGCGCTGGCCGCAGAGCCCCTGCGGTGTCCCGGAATGCAGAGGCTGCAGACACCCCCGGGGTTCCATCTCCTTTGTGAGAAGGTCCCTCACGGTTTTTTTAATCCTCCCTTGAAGACCCCCCCCCCTTTTTTAAATTGATTTGGGAGAGAGAGGAAGGGAGAGAGAGAAACATCGATATAAGAGAGAAATATTGATGAGTCGCCGCTAGGTTGCGCCCCAACTAGGGATCGAACCCGTAACCTGGGCTTGTGCCCTGACCAGGACTCGAACCTGCAGGGTTTTATGTACAGGTCGATGCTCCCACTGACGGGGCCACCTGGCCGGAGCCCCTCCTTGTTTTGATGGTAATGACTGAGGCCTAAGGATAAGACGGTGAGTGGGGGCGCTGGTGGAGAGGACAGTACTGACTTGGGGGTCTCTTAGCACTAAACGTCCTTGTGTGGCCAGCACAGCTCAGCGCTGATGACAAGACGGGGTCTCGCAAGGCGCTTCAGGTACTGGCAGGTGCCGGCGCAGGCACATCGCCCGGCAGACGCAGACGCAGACGCAGACGCAGACGCAGACGCAGACGCAGACGCAGACGCAGACGCAGACGCAGACGCAGACGCAGACGCAGACGCAGACGCAGACGCAGACGGGCGTGGAGCGTGCTGGCCGCCGCCCACGCCTGGGCCGCCTGCCCTGCCCTGTGACGCGGGTGCGCTCTCCTGGCTCTTCTGACCCCCGAGCGCTCAACACCGAGAAATGGCTCTTTCTTTATTTTGTTCACATTGGCCAAGTTGTATTTGAACTGTTGGGATGAACATTAATATTCAGACTTTGACGTTAACCTCTTAGTGCATTTCTGCACCAAAGAGGTTTTCTAAACAAGGTTTTCCGTTCTGCATCTTTAGGTTGACGCCTTCCCCCCCAACGGGTACGGCCTGTACAACATCGTGGGCAACGCGTGGGAGTGGACGTCCGACTGGTGGACCGTTCGCCATTCTGCTCAGGAAGCGCTCAACCCAGTGAGTGGCATCGCTGTGGCCCCGTCCTCGGGCTCCTGGCCGCCTGCGGGCTCACGTGCCCTGGGAGTTCCCCAGAGGCACTGTCCCTGTCCCTGTCCCCCCCCACGGAATGTGCCGCTGCCGTGGCGGCGGGGACGCCGGAGGGAACTTGCCTGTGAGGACCGAGAACTTCCGTTCAGTCTCACTCGTGGAGCAGAGTGGAAGGAGTAACTGCGAACGTCACTGATGTTCTATTAGTGAGCAGTGAGGTCTGCTGGACGGTGTTGTCCTGCAGCACGCGGCCTGCGCTTCGATCGGAGAAAAGAGGGGCGCGCTTCCTGGTTGGATGTGGAGTCGGACGGTCCGCCGCAGGGATGGTTTCCCGGGCCCTGCGTTTGCCGCGCACTTCGCCGGAAGCCCGGGGAACCCACGGTGGCCGAGCTCGTCGCGGTTCTCCCGTGGGTGCGGGCAGACGGGCGCACCAGCGTGCTCTGCCTCCCACCCGGGACTCCCAGCCGTGTGAGGACTGAACCCTGACTCCCAGGAGCCCCTGCCCAGCGCTCAGGGTGTTGCAGCTTCTCTGTTTCGGTGCCGTTGCCACCAGGCGAGCCCGAGCCCGAGCCCCCCTGGTCACTGCGCCCGCCTCGCCGGCCTCAGGCCTCTCTGCCCGGGAGCCGGGCTTCGCGGAGAGCGATCCAGGCCGCCCTTCCTCAGTTCGGAACCTTCCTCAGTTCGGAACCTTCGGTGGCTTCTTGTCTGAGCCGCCAAGTCCGAGCCCTGGAACGTGACTGAAGGCTGGAATTAGTTAGCCCTGACTGACTACTTTGTTTTCTTTTCTTTTTCTAACATTTAATTGTCAAATGTTCTAAAAATTCAGAGAAGTACAGGAAGTAGTGTAACATACACCTGTGTACCTGCCGGCTGAGATTTCGCTTTGGCGTGTTGTGGGGCCTTAGGGAGTCCTGTCCCCTGGACGGGCTCAGCACTCCCTCGGGAAGGGGTGTGAGGGCTGCTGTCCCCCAGTCAGTCTGGGCAGCTGGTCTGAGCCGGCTTCGCCGTGGGCCCCGGGGGCGGAGGTGGTGACCAGTGAAGAGGCAGGTCCTCCACCCCGGGAGGGGCCGCTGCTCCGGGTTCTGCTCTGTCCTCTGCAGCGGGAGCCTGGGCTGGAAAGGCTTGGAGCGCCTCGTGCTGCCCCGCTCAGCAGCTGAGAGCTGAGTCCTTTCCAAGGCGCCCGCCGTGCCCTGCAGAAGGCCCTTCTGCCTCCTTGGGCAGACCGGATGAGGTTCTTTCTTTCCTTCATTTAAGGAATGAAGTGAAATGAGCACGTGCCCTGTGCTGGGGGCAGACATAAGCGTCACTTAGTCCTGCCTTAGACGGGGTGAATTTCAGGTCCCGAGATGGCTCCTCACTGCAGGTCACAGGAAGTTGCTGCCCCACTGTCATTAAGTAGGGAGTCGAACCAAGCTCAGGTTCCATCTCTTCTCAAAGCCTGTCTGTGCCTTCCTGCCCCTCTGTGTACCTGGAGAGTGCGGGGCGGGGGGGGGGGGGGTCTGTCCCTGGGCGCCCTGGTTTATTTGGGTCCACAGAGGACAGGCCTGATCTGAGCAGCCTTTCTGGGCAGCGGAGGTTACTCGCCAGGTTCCAGGGGAAGTAGGCCTCCCTGTGGGTCGGGTGCTCGAGGGCTTGACCTGCTCTCCGTGGTTCGAGGTCTGAGTCGACAGCGGAAGCTTAGGTGCCCATGTGCCTCCGGCCCCTCCCCGCTCGGTAGGCCCCTCCCGGCCCCCTGTGGCTGGCACTGCCCATCCCCCAGCATCACCCCGAGGTGTGCCTCCCGTTTCCAGGGGCCTCTCTCATCACGCTCGGCAGTCGGCAGGCATACTGAGCGTGTGTGCATTTCCGACACAGCCAGCTCCCCGCATGGTTTCTCCCGTGTGACATCTGTCCTTGTGGGCACTTCCCAGTGCCGCCCTCAGGGTGGGCCCACGGCTGCGGAGGGCCACGTGGTCTGCGGCTTGAGGACGCCCGAGCCCTTCTGCACGCGGGCCGCGAAGGTTATCGGTGTGAGGTGGGTTCTGGTCAGAGAAGGGCCAAGTCTGAGCCTGCGCCCCGGGGGCTGCCCTGCCCCCCTGCGGCACCGCCGGCAGGTGCGCGAGGAGGTCGTCACGTTGCGGCAACTCATGGGGTCTGGCTTCTCCCTGAAGAGCTCCAGGTACCTTCTCCTCTCTCCCTTTCTTCATTCCTCATGTTTTCAAAACAGTCCTGATTGTGCAAAAGTGCCTACGTCTCATTTCTTGGGGTGGTTTTCGGGATGGAGGGTCTGATGGCCTCGGGCCTGGGGCTGGCAGTCAGGAGCAGCCCCTGGGCTCTGCTGTCCACTCGGCAGTGTTTTCCGGTCTCCAGGTGTTCTGAACAACCTGAGGGGCTCCCCATGTCCTCGAGGTGTGTCGCAGACGTGGTAGGTGGGGCTCCCAGAGGGCTGTGCGGAAGGTGACAGAGGTGTGGGAGCTGCTCCGCACAGGTTTTCTCCAGACGCTGGGCAGGGCCAGGGGGTCGTGCCTGTGGCTTCTTAGCTCTTGAGGTTTTACGTTGGTTTCTGTCGTTCTTACCTCCCTAATCTCTTGTTTTCACTGAATTGTTCGTGAAGTGTACTGATTTGCGAGTCGGTTTCTGTGCCCATTGTGGGGCTTGCTGAGGGGCTGTGATGCTGCGCCCTCCCATTTCCTGGCGTTCCCGTCCCCACCCGTCCCCGCGTGGCCCTGTCCCTCCCTCAGCATCTGCAAACGAACCCATGCTTCCGGGAAGAGAACAGCCGTGAAGTCATCTCTTCCCTCAGATTACTCCGGGGTTTGTGTGGCCCTGAGGGGAGGCTTACGGGTGTACACGTGGCCACACATGTGATCGCCATGTGTGCATTTCCTTCTGTCCAGCAGCAAACTTGCTGGACAGTCTGCTGAACACCAGACTCGTGTGCTGGGAACCAACATGCGTGATGCCTGTTTCTTCCGGGAGCTGGCAGCTGGCAGGGAACCCAGCGAACACACCTGGTGACACAGGTGCACCGGCGTCTCACCTGCCAGGGGGAGCAGAGCGTGGGGGACAGAAGGTTGAGTTAGACCTGGTTTCCAGCTCAGCCCCTGCCCGCTGGGTAACCCGGGGTGAGGCGCCTGCGCTCCACCAGCTGCGCCGTCTGCACCTGGGCACATAGCCGCCCCGTGGGGGACGTGGCCGGGCTTCCCTGAGAGGCCACCAAGGGTACGCTCAGCGTGCTGGCTGCGGATGGTGAGCACAGGATGTCTCAGTGATGGCTCTGGGTCTCACGTGCGAGCACAGTTCAGATACAGGGAGCCAGCAAGCTGTGCACCTCGCTCTGAAGCCTGGCCCATGGAGACCTCACCCTGTACCTCCTTGGGGTGGGAGCGACAAAGCCAGATGGCAGCACGCCATTGTGACCGCCCCGCGCACAGCTGACTCCTCTGATGAAGCAGCAGCGCCTGCGGGTCGGCGTGCACACTGGTCCACGCTCCGTGTCCCAGTGAGACCAGGCGGTCCCCGTCTGCAGACACAGTGAACGGCCAACACCGTTGGTGTAGCCAATTGCCTGTTCTCTCCTAACTTGCTAACGAGTTGTCGCTGAAGGATGGACAGCTGTGTATATACGAGGATCTGACCAACAAAACCCTTAGGGAGATGGCACTCTTCGTTTTTCTCCTTCTGCTCATGCTCAGAGCCGTCCCCAGCTCTGCACTGGGACTGAGCAGCTTTGCGAGATTCAGGGATGGGAGCGAAGGAGCCTGGAGCTGGCCCTTCAGCACAGGGTCTGTCTTGGGGCACTGGGGCCTGGGTGCAGTGGGCCCAGAAGTCACCTTCCCTCACGGTGGTGCTGCATCCCAGGCTCTGCTTGTGATGACAGACTGACTCGGTGTGGGGAGTCACCCGGACAGGGTCAGGCCGACCAGGAGTGCTCCTCTGTCCTCCATCGGCTTAGGGAGCGTCCCGAGGGTGCAGGACCACCTGGACGTGAGATGTAGGGTCAGGCCGACCAGGTGTGTCCCTCTGTCCTCCATCGGCTTAGGCAGCGTCCTGACGGTGCAGGACCACCTGGACGTGAGATGGAGGGTCAGGCCGACCAGGTGTGTCCCTCTGTCCTCCATCGGCTTAGGGAGCGTCCCGAGGGTGCAGGACCACCTGGACGTGAGATGCAGGGTCAGGCTGACCAGGTGTGTCCCTCTGTCCTCCATCGGCTTAGGGAGCGTCCCGAGGGTGCAGGACCACCTGGACGTGAGATGCAGGGTCAGGCCGACCAGGTGTGTCCCTCTGTCCTCCATCGGCTTAGGGAGTGTCCCGAGGGTGCAGGACCACCTGGACGTGAGATGCAGGGTCAGGCTGACCAGGTGTGTCCCTCTGTCCTCCATCGGCTTAGGGAGCGTCCCGACGGTGCAGGACCACCTGGACGTGAGATGCAGGGGTCAGGCCGACCAGGTGTGTCCCTCTGTCCTCCATCGGCTTAGGGAGCGTCCCGAGGGTGCAGGACCACCTGGACGTGAGATGCAGGGTCAGGCCGACCAGGTGTGTCCCTCTGTCCTCCATCGGCTTAGGGAGTGTCCCGAGGGTGCAGGACCACCTGGACGTGAGATGCAGGGTCAGGCTGACCAGGTGTGTCCCTCTGTCCTCCATCGGCTTAGGGAGCGTCCCGACGGTGCAGGACCACCTGGACGTGAGATGCAGGGTCAGGCCGACCAGGTGTGTCCCTCTGTCCTCCATCGGCTTAGGGAGTGTCCCGAGGGTGCAGGACCACCTGGACGTGAGATGCAGGGTCAGGCCGACCAGGTGTGTCCCTCTGTCCTCCATCGGCTTAAGGAGCGTCCTGACGGTGCAGGACCACCTGGACATGAGATGCAGGGTCAGGCTCTGTCCAGCCTGAGCAGGGGCAAGGACGTTTGTTCTTTTTCTTTTTTATCAATAATTACTTTATTTTTTTAATTTAAATTTTATTTTTCAATTGCAGTTGACGTTCAGTGTTCTTTTGTGCACAGTGTTGTGCTTAGACAGCGTAGACGTCACAGAGTGCCCCTGGCATCTCCGCTGCCCGCCGGCCTGCACAGTCACTGCGCGTTGTTGACTGTATCCCCGCGGCCGCCTGTAGCTGCCAGGCTGCACCTCTCATCGCTTCACCTCTTCACCCAGCCCCCGGCAACCACGAGTCTGTTCTCTGCGTCCGCGTCTGTCTGTTTGGCTTGTTCACTGATTTTGTGCTTCAGCTTCTGCGTGTAAGTGGACTCATAGGTGCTTGTCTTTCCCTGACTGGCTGACACTCAGCGTGATGCCCGGCAGCCCAGCCGTGCTGTCGCAGACGGTGAGCTGCTCGTTTGCGTGGCGTTCCTGAGCACGCGTGGTCGAGGGCGGCCAGCCCGGCCTCCGGGAGGTCGGCACAGAGGAGCCCCGCCCGCAGTGACGGGCCTGGTCAGGAGGCAGCGCTCACTTCCGTGGGCCGATCACCGCTGGGACAGAGCGTGGAGACGCTCCCGTGTCCTGGGGCTGCCACCATAAACGACCACGCGTTGGTGTCTTGAAACAAAAGACATTTGTTGTCTCAGTTCTGGAGGCTGGAAGCTCGAGATCTGGGTTCCGGCAGGACTGTGCAGCCTCCAGGCCAGCAGGGAGGGGGAGGCCTTCCCGCCTCTTCCTTCCCGCCCCTTCGCGCCCCTTCGCGCCCCTTCCCGCCCCTCCTGCCCCCTCCCGCCCCTCCCCGCCCCTTCCCACGTCGTTGCTCCCTGGACCCTGGCGTTTCTGGGCTGTGGCTGCAGCCGTCCACGCTTCTCTGTGCACCTCTGTCCTCTGCTCCTGCGGCAAGGACACCAGCCCCTGGACCAGGGCTCGCCGCAGCTCACAGGGCCTCAGCTTCACCAGAATCACACCGCTGAGGCTGAGCGAGCATGGATTTTGGGGGGATGCTGTTCAACCCATTACACTCTCCTAGTACTTGTCTGTCCTTCTGGCAAAGTGGTAACCATTTCAGACAGTTGTCGCAGATCCTGCACCGTGGTGTTCTGGCAGACTTTGCGTATTTTTGGGGGTGAGCCGAGCAGTCGTCTCGGGAGGCCACACTGACTGCTGAGCTGCGGCGCGGGGCTCGTGGGGGCGGACACCTGGGCGACTCGCTCACTGCGCAGGGCTCGCGGGGGCGGACACCTGGGCGACTCGCCCACTGCAGCGTAGGGCTCACAAGGGCCTGTGGGGGGTGAGCAGGGTGCAGTGCAGGGCCCTGGGCGGAAGTGCACGCGGAGGTTAGGCAACCACGGGGGAGCTGGTGGGGCTGAATGGACCCTGTCCCGCTGGGAGGGGCAGCCGTGTCTGGACTCAGGAGCTCTCTTCTCTCCCTCCACAGAAAGGCCCCCCCTCTGGGAAAGACCGGGTGAAGAAAGGTGGCTCCTACATGTGCCATAAGGTGAGTGGCGTCGCTGAGCCCTGTTCGGTGGTCTGAGCAGGTTCGTGGACCAGTGTAAACATCAGCCTGCGAAGTCCGTCTTCTGCTCAGACTGATGCTAACACTGACCTACCCCATCGAGGCAGAACCACAGTGGATAATCCTCTCAAGGTTGGGCACAGGCGTGGGGAGAAGTGGCCCCAGAGCAGAGGTTGGGGATGACCTGATGTCAACCCCACTCCATCTGTTGAATCTTGACCCTTTGAGAGACCAAGTGGTCCCCTGACCGGGTTGGGGTGCGCACCTTCTCTAGCATGTGAATCTGGGAGCACACTCCTGATTGATTCGAGAGCGGATTCTCTGTTGAGATGAAGCAAGGTTATCGATGGGGTGGATTCGGTGTGCTGGTGGAAACACCCCAAGTGTTGTAGGGTCGATGTGCTTTGTGAAACGTGCCAGCCTCAGACAGAGTTGCTGCTGTTCGGGCTGAGATTCCGGGGTCAGAGCTGCTGTTCCCGGTTAGCGGGAGTGGCGGGCTTTCTGAGTAACCACTGGGGGGACTTCTGGAATCGAATGCCATTTCTGTCCTTTTTCTTTCGATCACATATGTCAGTGTGCCCAGCACTCCCGCCTCTGCCCCCGTGAAAGATGGATTTAGCAAATTGTCCCTACAAGAAGCTTCCCTGGAAATTTAGCCCAGACAGTAGAGACCTAAAACAGCCCGTCACGGCTGCAGATCCTGTTGCTGGTTCGATGATGGGAGCGTTGTCAGATTTTGCCTTCAAACAGTGGCTCTCAGACCTCGTTCCACGTTAGCATCATCCAGCATCTCTACAGATGCTGATGCCCGTGTCCTCTCTCGCCTCATTCTGCCTCGGTTTTCCTGTAGTGTGCCCTGGGCACCCGGGTTTGGAAGCCCTCTAGGGGTGATGGTGCCCAGAAAAGTCTGGTGGGTCTGTGGGTGTGTCATCTGCGTGCTTAGCGTTTTCAGTCCAGTCGTCCAGGTGGGAGTTCATGGGGCGGAGCTCACTTTGTTTTGCACCTACACTTAGGACAAGATGTGGACAAATTTATCATTAAGATTCTGATTTTAATTCTAAATTAAAAGTATTGTCCCAGGTCATCCCAGTAATTTTAAATATTTATATACACATTAGTCTGTGGTCCTAGATTTTTGCCTCCAGTTCAAACTTACTATAAGAAAGTCTGAGTCCTTTTGTTGGGGAACCGGATTTCCATGAAAAACAGGTGAAGCTCTCTCTACATGATAGTATTTCAAAACCTTATTTGCCACTCATTATGTCTCTGACATACGATGCATTTACTCTGTAAGGATTGAGGGCCAGATTTTTTCTGAAGAAACAGTGGAGAAAATGAAGCTTGTAAAAAACAATGTAAGCATGGACCGTAAAATATCCCAGTGCCATGCACCTGAATATATCTGCTTTAACATTTCAGTTTTTCCCCCTTATTTTAAATCTGCATTTTTATAGGCTTCCTGGTTTACTCTTTTTTAAAATATATTTCAAGTTAATATGTACTTCTAGTGGATGCATTTATGTGGTATAGTTGGTTTTGTATATTTATCTTATGTCCTATGACTTTGTTAAACTCATCTACGTTAATAATATTTTTGTAGATTCTATTGGATTTTTTACATAGGTGGTGAATACAGACCGTTTCACCTCTTCCTGTTTTAGCTGCCTGCCTTTTATTGTTTTCCTTGTATTGTCCAGAATCTCCATTGTAGTGTTGAATAGAAGTGGTAAAAATAGTCCTGGCCGGTTTGGCTCAGCGGTTAGAGCGTCAGCCTTCGGTTCAGAGAGACGCGGGTTCGGTTCCCGCTAAGGGCATGTACCTCAGTTGCAGTTTTTCCCCGGCCCTGGTTGGTCGTGCAGGTGGCAGCCACTCAATGTGTCCCTTTTACGTCAGTGTTTCTCTCTCTCTCTCTCTCTCTTCCTCTCTCTCCCTCCCACTCTACCTGAACAAAAAATGGAAAAGTGTCCTCAGGTGAGGATAAAACAAAAAAAAGAAGTGGTAAGAATAGATATTCTTCATTTTTGAGACAAGAATCTTAAGAATCGAAGTTAAATTTGATTCTAGCTATAGTGTTTTCAAAGATGCCCTTTATTGGTTTGAGGAAGTTTCCTTCCATTCCTGGTTTTTTGACACAATTTATCAGAAATGGATGTACATTTTATTTTGCCTAATGTTTTTTCTGTAGCTATTGAGATATTTATATGGTTTTTCTTTTTTAGTCTGTTAATATGGTGAATTACACTTATCGATTTTAAATTTTCAAATGTTAAACTATCCTTGCCTTCCTGGAATAATCCACTTAGTTATGATGTATTATCTTTTTGGTGTATTTTGGATGGTTTGCTATAAAATGTGAAGCATTTTTGCATTTATGTTTGTGATGGGTGTTGGTCTGTTGATTTCTTATCTGCTTTGGTATCAGTGTATTGCTGGCTCCATGGATGAGTGGAAAAACATTTTCTCATTTTAAACTTTCTGGAGGAGTTTGTGTAGAATCAGCTGTTTGTTTCTTAAATACAGGGTAAAAGTAGGTTTACAGTTGTTCTTATGGAAAATAATACAATAATTATTAAATAATACAAGAGTAAACTGTTTTTCATGTACTCACAACTGTAAATAAACCTATTTTGGCCTACCCTGTATTTGAGAAAATTCCCCAAGAGAAACTATTTGGGCCTAGAGTTGTAAATATAAATTTTATTTAGTTAATAGCTGCAGGGTTATGCAGATTATCTGTTTCTTCTTGATTAATATCTGGGAGTTTGTGTCTTTCAAAGAATTTGTTCATTTCATCTGAGTTATTGCATTCATTGGCATAATCTTTGCCTTTGCATTGGCTGTTTAGACCATTTACGTTTAATGTGATTATTGATATGGTTGGGTTTAAATTTGCCGTCTTGATATTTGGGTTTTTTTTTTGTCTCATCTGTTTTTGTCCCCCCCCCCCCCCTTTGACTTCTTTGGAATTAAATATTTTTATCACTCTGTTTTTCTCCTTTAGCTTTTTAGCTATAACTCTTTGTTTAAAAATTTTAGTGATTCATTTAGAGTTTCTAATATATATATTTAACTTTTCTTAGTCTACCTGAAGGATAAGTTTTAATTTAGTCAAACTTAGAGGGATGGAGAGAATATTCCAGAATACCAGGAGAACATCACAGTGTTGGTTGTGAATTACTTTCAGAGCACCTGTCCTTCAAACTAGATTGAAATGATACTATAGAAAGTATTGAGGTGTGGACTCTGGAATGAGACCTGGGTCGGAGCTGTAACTGTTCCTTGCCAGTCTGTAACCTTGGGACTTGACCTTTCTAAGCCTCAGTTTCCACATTTGTAAAATGCCCGTCATAGTTGCACCCCCTCTGAGGTTCTTATGGGGAATGAATGGACCGTCGCACCTGAGCTTGGTCCAGAGCCTAGTCATGGTAACACCTCCGACAAAGTGAGTTGCTGGCACCATCATCCTCCATCATCATCTCTATTGTAGTCAGATTGTTTCTCCCTTCTCTTGAATATGGATCCAGCTAAGGAATCCCTAACTAGGTAGGCAGAGTCCTGGAAATGACTCTTAAGGCATAGGTGGAAATCAATAAAAGAAAGAAAATCAATTTAAAAAAAGAAAGAATAATGTAATTCACATTTTAAAAAATCACCTTGCTTAGAAGGTGACTTGCTTTTCACTGTGGGTCAGGGCTAGTAAGCGCCGAGGATCAGTCACAACCTCTGAAAGTCCACCCAGAGTACAGCTTCAGCAAGGAGAAGGGGACACATGAGGAGAAGCGGCGTGGCTTCCGGTTAAGAGCACAGACTCTGGCTTGGAAAGGCTGCCATTCTGGCTCCACCACGGACCTGCCGTGGGACCCTGGGCGCACTGTCAGCATCCCTGTGCCTCAGTTTCTCCCAGGTGTATAAGTTGGACACTGGTAACACCTACCCACAGGTCCCTGGGAGGACGCGGTGAACCAGTGCTGGAGAAGTTCTTAGGACCGTCTGCATAGTAAGTACTCAGGAAACTGGTTGTTGGATGTGGCCGGGTGCTCAGCTGGTTAAAGCGTTGTCCTGATACACCGAGGTTGTGGGTTTGATCCCTGGTCAGGTCACATACAAGAAGCAACCACTGAATGCATGAATAAGTGATCGACACATTGCTGTTTCTTTCAAAAAAAAATCCATAAATAAAAAGTTAAAGAAAGAAACGTTGGTTGCTGTTCTTGAATGTTGTTCAGTTCGTCCCTGTGGGGTTTTCTGCCCACACACAGCAGGGAGGAAACCCTCACCTGCCGGCATTTTCCACCAGGGTCGCTCACAGAGGGCAAGACGTGGGTGGGAAATGGGGGGCCCGGGCTCTGCTGTGCGTTTTCTGCGGTGATTTTGTCTACGATGCGCTACAGTGACGGTAAGGCCCGCCCAGCCCCTGGGCGCTCTCGTAGGAGCCTCGCTCCCGGCGCCCTGGACTTCTCAGCCGCGTGGCGGCAGGTGGTCACCGACTGCGTGGACTTCCCGCGTCCCCGCCCACAGCTGTAGCACAGACGCGGAGGTCAGCTTCACACAGGATGAAATAGGCTAAAACAGGCCCTCCCCACTACCTCTGTTCTTAATGAATAAAATGACCCATATTCCAGCCACTCGGAGCTCACGTCATTAATCACCATTTCGGTGCTGACAGGAGACTCGGAGGGAAGGGCAGCGAGGGGGTAAAATCAGGCCGTTTCCTCCGACTCTGTTCGCCGCCCCCGAGACTGGGCCGGGCGCACGGCGTGGCGTGGACTTGCGGAGCGGACGAGGACTCGGGAGTGGAACAGCGTGCGAGCCGACCGTCCCTGCTGCGAGGGCACTGACCCCGGCCCGACTCGGGGTGAGGGGTTTCAGGGCCTGGCTCCCCCCCACAGGGCTCCGTGTAGCGAAGGTTTCTGTCGTCACTGGGTTCAAGCCTTTCCGTCTACAAACAGCATCTTCATTGCATTAAAAGTTAGAGAGTGGGTGATAAACGTAAAAATGAAACAATTGTTCTGCTTCCTAAAGAAAACGACTGATCGCATTCTACCCAGCGTTTTGGAGTAGTTTTGTGTTTTCCTTCCCCGAATGGAATTCTGCTGTGTCCCGGGGCTTCCCGCGCAGCTGTGCAGCATCTGCTGGCTGGCACCCCTGCCTGCCGGCGGCCCCAGGCCCCAGCCGCGCCCTCCGACAGTGCTGGGCGGCCTGCGCAGACTCGCCCCCGCCGCGCTGTGTGCACGGGCACCACTGTGTCAGAGCCTGTGCTCCGTCACTCACTCGGGGTACGCTGCCAGCGAAGACCTCTGAGCCGTGCCCTTCCCCCGCGAGGTCCTCAGTTCCCATCACACAGCGGTGCCTTCCCAGCAGGGCGTGACGACAGCCACGTGCTCAGCGCCAGACTGGAGCGTCCCCTTTCCAGGGTGCGACCGTGAGACTTGCGGAGCCGCCGGCTAGCACCCTGGAGCCACCGGCTGGCACCCTGGGTCCATGAGGGCGCAGGTCTGCCTGGGGCAGGGGCCCAGGTCGGCTCTGCACTGAGGGGCCTCTGTTCAGTCTCAAGTTTGTTAGGTGCCTCCTACGCGCCCAGCCTGCCTTTCCCGTGGGACCGCGAGGGAGCGTCTCGGGTCTTCCCGCAGGGGGCTGGTTTGTGTCGGGGAACAGAGCAGAACGGCTGTGCTCCAGTCCCGCAGCGCGGAGTCTTGGATTTCGCCCTTTCTAAGCAGACGAGCAGTTAGTTGGCCACCGTTCGTGCACATGGGCATCACTTCTAACTTTTTGAAAACCCTCCACCGAGCCCAGCTCCTTGTTCGCCCAGAAACTGCCTGCTGCCGCCTCCACCCTCTGTCCTTCATCCGCTTCCTGTGGCCCTCGCTGTCGCCACGGATGATCTCCTCCCGATCTTCAGGCCTGTCCGCCACAGGGCGCCTCCGGCCACTGTTTCTGCGGTCAGTCGCCTCACGCTCGCCGTCTCCCTGGTGGCTTTCTTCCCAGCTGACCGCTGCGAGGAGTATAAGTCTTTGGACGAGGAGTGTCCTGGGTCTGGCTCGCCGTGCGTCGCGGTGCCCAGAGCGGCAGGCAGTGTGGTGTGGCCCTTGGAGCCGTCGGGGAAGCAGGAAGGTGCTCTGGTGGGACCGCTGTGGCCCGGTACCGTCCCCTCACGGAACCGCTGCCTTTTCTCCCTTTGACATCAGTACGTCTGCTCCTGGCCTGGGCCCTGGGCCAAAGCAGCAGCAGCAGCGCTGGGGAGCAGGTGTTTGGGCCTCGCTCCGGACCACTCCGAGCCCTCAGGCTGTGGTCAGCTGAAGTCCGAGGCCACTGCGGCTCCGCCTTCCATGTCTTCCTTGAAGGCTGTTCTTCTACAGGGACAGTCCCTTTCCCCGAACCTCCGATCCCTGTACGTGTTGCACCTGCTTGATGTGCAGCCTGTGGTCTCCCGCAGGGCGGACCGTGCTCCACTCGGTTCCTCTGTGGCTGGTGCGGTGCCGTGTGGAACAGGGGCGTCCCCGGTGGCTGTTGGCCGTGTGCGGTGCCGTGTGGAACAGGGGCGTCCCCGGTGGCTGTTGGCCGTGTGCGGTGCCGTGTAGAACCGGGGCGTCCCCGGTGGCTGTTGGCCGTGTGCGGTGCCATGTGGAACAGGGGCGTCCCCGGTGGCTGTTGGCCGTGTGCGGTGCCGTGTGGAACAGGGGCGTCCCCGGTGGCTGTTGGCCGTGTGCGGTGCCGTGTGGAACAGGGGCGTCCCCGGTGGCTGTTGGCCGTGTGCGGTGCCGTGTGGAACCGGGGCGTCCCCGGTGGCTGTTGGCCGTGTGCGGTGCCGTGTGGAACAGGGGCGTCCCCGGTGGCTGTTGGCCGTGTGCGGTGCCGTGTGGAACAGGGGCGTCCCCGGTGGCTGTTGGCCGTGTGCGGTGCCGTGTGGAACAGGGGCGTCCCCGGTGGCTGTTGGCCGTGTGCGGTGCCGTGTGGAACAGGGGCGTCTCCGGTGGCTGTTGGCCGTGTGCGGTGCCGTGTGGAACCGGGGCGTCCCCGGTGGCTGTTGGCCGTGTATGGTGCTGTGTGGAACAGGGGCGTCCCTGTCTGGCTGCCCGCCTCCCCTGGGACTCGATTCCTGTCCCAGGGTGGAAGTCACCGCACATGCTTGGAGCGTGGGGTCAGGAGCCCCCACAGGAACCCCGCTGGCCCCCCGCAGCCCCACAGTGGGCCCAGCGGGGATGTGGCTCCACGGCCTCTTCCTACTGGGCCACCTCTGGGCTCTGGGCTTCCGTCAGCGCAGTTCAGGCATATTTTTGTTCACCTCCCCTCCGCCGGCCTGGACACTGGATCTGTGTGGTGTCCTCGCCGGCCACAGGGGGGTGGGAGAGTTGGTTGCTAGCATCTCACTGTCTGAAGGCCAAGCGCTGTCCTCTTGTGGTGGAACCACGTGCGTCAGCTTCAGAGACGGAGAAGGACGAGGACTGAGGAGGAACCAGCCTCTGCAGTGCTGGCGGCAGGTGACGTGCTGCCGCGCCCTGAGGAGGGCCTGCTGGGGCTACGCACCGCTGGGCCTGGGCTCACTCCGCGTCCTTGAACACACGGAGCCATCCCGGGCTCCTCCAGTGCCTCTGTGCGTGGTGGCCGAACGGTGGTAAGGTGGACCTGCCGCTCCGCGTCTGCGCGCGCCTGCCCCTCCGCAGTAGCCGAGCAGAGATCCGCACCCCACTTGGAGCTCTGTGAGGCGTCACCTGACTCAGAAGGCCACGTACTAAAAATGCTTCTGCAGCCCTGGCCGGTGTGGCTCAGCGGTTAGAGCGTCGGCCTGCGGACCAGAGAGACCCGGGTTCCGTTCCCTCTAGGGGCACGTAACTCGGTTGCAGTTTGTCCCCGGACCCGGTTGGGGTCATTTGGGTGGCGACCGCTTGATGTGTCTTTCTCATGTCGATGTTTCTCTCTCTCTTTCTCCCTCTCTCCCGCTCTGTCTGAAGATAAATGCAAAAATGTCCTCAGGTGAGGATAAAAAAAATGTCTCTGCGGTTTGTCCTGCTCTCGATGTCCCTGGGTTTAACTGGTCAGTCCACCAGATATTAAATCATGTCATTGTCATTCTGAATCTTCTCTCAATTGCCATCAAAGCTTTATCACTTGGCTTAACGTCAGAGACCATTTGAACTGTACAAGTAACTCCCCAAGTTGTAACAGTAGCAGAGGGGAGGGGAGTAGCAGTGGCGGAGTCATGGGAACTGAGCTGCTAGAGCCATTAACACGACGAGGCTGAGGCGGGAGGGACCCCGTCCTGTCTGCTGAACCCACAGAGCTCAGCGCCCTCCGGGACCCTGCGGGGTTCCTGTCCACCCCCGATGCCATTCTCCACGGCTCCTGGCACCTCACCCTGTCAGCCCGCCCTGTGACTGCTCGCCGGCGGGCCCCATCCCGGGGCCAAGAATGCTTTTCCTACGAGAGCTGAAACTTCCCTGCCCCTCTGGGGAACCTCGGGCTTCGCCTCGCTGTGCTCCCGACTTGCAGACCTCAGGACCCGCGACCCGATCTGTCAGTTCTTTCTAGCGAAGCCACAGACAGACTTCGCGCGACCCGTATCGGGTAGGGGATCTGAGACCCACGGCCGGGTAACCGTGTCCGTCCTGGGCGGGTTCCGAGGCTCCGGTCTCTCATGCGATTACCTAGATGGAGAGCGACCGTTCACACAGTCTGGGCTCCGCCTTCTTCGTTTAGCACTGTCCCAGCACACTTTCCGGTGTCCTTAAACCACAGTCATGGTTTCTAACGGCTGCTCACCAGTCCAAGAGGTGGACACACCGTGAGGCATGTAACCATTGGTCATTGGTTTATTTGTGACGGTTGTAAGTGGCGGTCGCCCCGACATCTTTGTTCTCTATGGCATGTTTACGAGGTGCAGGGCATTGGAGAGGACGCAGTGAACAGTGCGTGGACTGCTCTTCTCAAAGCATGCACACTGCGTGTGCAGGGGGCGGGAGGGAAGCTGGGTGTGCAGGAGGGGGCGTGGGGGGAAGCTGCATGTGCAGGGGGGTGGGGGGGCAGCTGGGTGTGCAGGGGGCAGCTGGGTGTGCAGGGGGGCGGGGGGGCAGCTGGGTGTGCAGGGGGGCTGGGGGGCAGCTGGGTGTGCAGGGGGCAGGGGGCAGCTGGGTGTGCAGGGGGGGCAGCTGGGTGTGCAGGGGGAGGTGGTAGGGAAGCTGGGTGTGCAGGGGGGCGGGGGGCAGCTGGGTGTGCAGGGGGGCGGGGGGCAGCTGGGTTGCAGGGGGGCGGGGGGCAGCTGGGTTGCAGGGGGGCGGGGGGCAGCTGGGTTGCAGGGGGGCGGGGGGCAGCTGGGTGTGCAGGGGGGCGGGGGGCAGCTGGGTTGCAGGGGGGCGGGGGGCAGCTGGGTTGCAGGGGGGCGGGGGGCAGCTGGGTGTGCAGGGGGGCGGGGGGCAGCTGGGTGTGCAGGGGGGCGGGGGGCAGCTGGGTTGCAGGGGGGCGGGGGGAAGCTGGGTTGCAGGGGGGCGGGGGGAAGCTGCGTGTGCAGGGGGAGGTGGTAGGGAAGCTTCGTGTGCAGGGGGAGGTGGTAGGGAAGCTGGGTGTGCAGTGGGAGGTGGTAGGGAAGCTGGGTGTGCAGGGGGAGGTGGTAGGGAAGCTGGGTGTGCAGGGGGAGGTGGTAGGGAAGCTGCGTGTGCAGGGGGAGGGGGGAGGGAAGCTGGGTGTACAGGAGGAGGGGGGAGGGAAGCTGCGTGTGCAGGGGGGTGGTAGGGAAGCTGCGTGTGCAGGGGGGTGGTAGGGAAGCTGGGTGTGCAGGAGGGGGGAGGGAAGTCGGGTGTGCAGGGGGAGGGGGAGGGAAGCTGGGTGTGCAGGGGGGCGGGAGGGAAGCCGGGTGTGCAGGAGCGTGTGCAGGTGGGTGGGAGGTCTTGTCTGGGTGCCTGGGGCCTCGTGAACCTGATGGGTAGCTGAGGCCAACCCAGAGTGCTCACCTTCCCCTCTCCGCTCAGTCCTACTGCTACAGGTACCGCTGTGCAGCAAGAAGCCAGAACACCCCCGACAGCTCCGCCTCCAACCTGGGGTTCCGCTGCGCCGCGGACAGCCTGCCCACCGCCCACTAAGCGCCAAGAGCCTCCTGCGGCCCCGAGGGGTCGACCTGGATGGCCACCCGTGTAGACCCCCGCGGTGGGTCGTACCCGCCTAACCACCAAAGGAGCTGCCTTGCCAACCAGACCAAATTGCTGACCTGCCCCGGCACACGCGCCCCCTCGGGTGCTGGGTGTCGTGTCGGGAGAACTTTGCCATGTTTTACTTTGGGGTCTTTTAAAGAGGAGGGGGGTGGAGGGAGCCCGGAGCGAGGCCGTGGGAGGCTGCGTCTTACCCCGGCTCTGTCCTGGGGTCAGCCCCCAGGGTCCTGTCTCCCAGGGAGGATGCTCGCAGACCGCGGAGGCGCTCACTGATTCTGTGGGTTTGCGAGAGTCTGCTGTGGTTTCACAGAGTTTATGACATTATCGTGGAGCTGTTTTTCCACGCGCGATCCTTGGGTGATTTCAATCATGTAAAATAAGAGTTCTCGTGGGTATTGCTTTCAGGAAAGGGTGGGAGGTGGCCACAACGAGGCTTTATAGTCACTTGCACTTTGTTTTCCGAGGAAATGCGTGTCTTTCGCATCGTCACGGTGGCTCCCACGGGGGCCATGACGGGGGGGGGGGCAGCTCAGCCTCTGAACACGCAGGACACCCGGGTGACTGCTTTATCTCAACGTAAGTGCCTTGGTCCGGGGCAGTTACAGCCCCGTCTCCGTGGATACGAGACGTGTGCTGCAAGGAGACCCGCTCAATTCGAGACGCAGGAGATGGAGAGCTGCGGATGAGTGTATTGAGGGTCCCCGTGTTTGTAAGGGGGTAGGGATCCGGTGGGCCGTGGGGTCAGATGCTTGAATCAGTGCCACGTGGAATAAACTCTGCTGAGTCAGCCTTCACTCGCCTCGTTGTGTTTCTTTTAAAGAAATGACTGGTGACGTGGCTGGGTTCGTTTGCGAGAGAACTTTCCTGTCCGTTAGCTGCTTGCTAACGCTGTGCGAGCCAGCTGCGGGGTCCGATAGTCCAAGAGCAAGCCTGCCCTGCCGGGACCCTGGCCGAGACCTTGCTGCTTCGTGCCCGGGGGAGGCGACGTCCAGGGACTGCGTGGGCCGTGGTCCAGTGAGCCCCTCGCTCCGAGTGCCGCTCTGGGCAGAGGTCGCAGGCATCAGGGTCGCATCCCACTCCTTCGGGCCTACCTGTCATTTGAAAGAAACGTTTCCTCTTTATGTTGGTTGTTCAGAAAGTAAGCGCAGCCCACACACGGTTGCTACTTTGTATACAGCTGCTGGGGCGTTTGGCCACATTTACCTGTCTGTCTGTCTGTCTGTCTGTGGATATAGAATGTTTCCCCACAAACCTTCACTGATTGATCATTAATTCCAAGCAAAACAAACAAACAGCATTTGCTTAATTGAAAAAATACAGAAACGAATGTGGGGGAAAGGATTTTATTCTTCAAGCCACCACTTGGGTTTCTGTCTCCTGGTGACGTCCCACCTGCTCACGTGTTCACGTGGTATTTTTGCTCTGAATTGTGGATCCCTCCTGTTCATTCATGCCATCTAGCATAAATATTTTCGGGTGTGTTTTGGCTTAGTCTTTAGAATTGCATTTTTAGCTGCAGCATAATATTAGAAAGCATTTAAAACAAAGTCCTGGCACATCATTGAAGAACCACATTTCCAGGTTACCAACCACAGGCTGCTCCAGGCTGCAGCCCGCCACGGCCACGGCCACGGCCACGGCCCCGCATGACGTTGTGCGCCCACAGCACAGCGCGACGGCAGCGTGGCAGCCCCACTGCCGGCTCTCGCGTCCCGGAACACCACCTTGTGCAGACTGCATGTGAGAGAGGGCACAGGGAAGACGGGGGGCAGGCACCCAGAGCCTAAGGGGCAGGGGTGGAAAGAACCGCCTTAGTAAAACAGTAGCCCCACTGCATTTCCAGCTGCAGCCAGCGACAGCCGGGGCCCTCTGCAGCCTGAAGCCAGGTCCTTCCTGCTCCCGACGAAAGTCCCTGAAGCATCCGCTTGCATGGAGGCCCCTGCCTGCATCAGGGGTAAAGGCTGAGCTGCTTGTAGATTTTCTTTTCCTTTATTGATGTTGGAGAGAAGAAGGGAGAGGGAGAGAGACAGAAACATCTATGAGGGAGAACATTGATGGGCCCCTCCTGCACGCTCCCCACTGGGGATCAGGCCCACCACCTGGGCATGTGCCCTGACCGGGAATCGAACCGGCAGCCTCTTAGTGCAGGGTCGATGCTCAGCCCCTGAGCCACACCGGCTGGGCAGGACTTCATCCATCTGTGTGTGAGCAGTGTGGGCAGCCTTTGCGGCTCCGCTGTGAGGAGTTCTCCCACTGGGACGGTGCTCCGAACCCGACTCCCGCCCTCTGACGCACGCAGGGGCTCAGGTGTGTGCACACCTGCCTCGGTCCGAGTCCTGGGCGGGGCCCATTGTTGCCGGGTGTGCTTGCGGGCCCAGTGGGCAGCGGGGCCTCTCGTCTGAAAGCCTCGTGAACATGGGCGGGGCGGGATGGGAGGGGTGGTGACCGCGTGACAGCTCCTGGTGGAGAACACGGGATTGCGTCCACCGTCGAGCTGTGCGGTGCAGCCTGCAGCCTAACCCGCACAGACCTGCCCAGTGGGGGTCTCCTCTCCCCCCCCTCCCCCTCCGTTCCTTATTTTCTCAGTAAGTGTTCACGCGGTGGGCCCTTCAGGAGGATAAATGGAGGGTGCCGTTAGTTTCAGGGGTGCTGCCGGGCCGGTGCAGTGGGTCGTGACTGCAGATGCCGCAGACTGGGCTGAGATCGTGGTGTCATACGTGCGGCCGTGGCCTCTCCCGAGAACTCGGATCTGCGTCCTCACACTGACCCTCTGAAACACCCCTCTCAGGCTTACGTAGACCTGTTGCCTGCGGCCAACTCCGCTCGACCAGTGGAGGGAGTATTTTTAAAAAAGAAACAACGTGGAAAGACAGGTGTCTTCCGTCCCAGGACTTCCGGAGTCCGTCCCAGAGGCCAGTGTGGGTGCGTTGTCCTTGCAAGTGAGCCATCGCGAGCATTTCTCCCTCCTCCCCTGCTCCCCAGGGGCAGTGTTGCTCCGGGGCCGCCCCGTGGCGGCCTTGGGGGCAGCGGGAAGTTGTGGCCTGGACCTGGCTGCTCCGGTCCCGGTCCCGACAGTGGCCGCGTCCCTGTCCTTTCCCGGGAGCTCTTCAGCTGCTTACTGCTGGCTCCGCCGTGTACCCCGAGGGCTGCGGAGACCCCCTGGGCCGCCTCCAGCCCTGAGGATGAAAAGTGGCTCATTTCATGCGGCACAAAATCCAACCTTTTCCGTCGGAGAAGTGACTGCCGGCGAGCAGTGTGCCCGTCAGGAGAGCCCCCAGTGAGCAGGGCCTCGCCTGGCCTGGAAACGCCCTCCTGGCCCTCTGTCCCCCCACCTCCCGCCACCTGTCACTCAACAGGCACAGGGGCTCAGCGGCCTTGGCGGTCCCTGTTCACCACGGCCGGGGCTCCTTGCCGCCTGGGCAGGCCGCCGGCAGACGGCAGCAGGAACGTCGGCTCCCCGGCTGCCGGTTCCATTTCACCTGGTAAACGGAGGTCTCTGCAGTAAGACGACCTGAGCAGGCCTTGGGGCACACCGCGAGCCTCCCGTGCTGCTGGGGACGGCGGGCCTTGGGGCACACCGCGAGCCTTCCGTGCTGCTGGGGATGGCGGGCCTTGGGGCACACCGCGAGCCTCCCGTGCTGCTGGGGATGGCGGGCCTTGGGGCACACCGCGAGCCTTCCGTGCTGCTGGGGATGGCGGGCCTTGGGCACACCGCGAGCCTTCCGTGCTGCTGGGGATGGCAGGCCTTGGGGCACACCGCGAGCCTCCCGTGCTGCTGGGGACGGCGGGCCTTGGGGCACACCGCGAGCCTCCCGTGCTGCTGGGGACGGCGGGCCTTGGGGCACACCGCGAGCCTTCCGTGCTGCTGGGGACGGCGGGCCTTGGGGCACACCGCGAGCCTTCCGTGCTGCTGGGGATGGCGGGCCTTGGGCACACCGCGAGCCTCCCGTGCTGCTGGGGACGGCGGGCCTTGGGCACACCGCGAGCCTCCCGTGCTGCTGGGGACGGCGGGCCTTGGGGCCCAGTGCTTGCGGCCCCTGGAGATGACTAGCCCGGGAGGCCCTGACGGCGCTGGGCAGCTGGCCAGGGCGCCTGCTCCTCGCTCTCGGGTTGAGACCGTTAGAGCAGGAGTTTAATTAATTTTTTGCTTAAGCCAAACCGTTACCGATGATACCGAAGCAGGCTGTCCAGGGAGCCGGGCTGTTCAGGGGGGACTGGGCAGGGGGTTAGCACCAGGGGAGGAATTTCTCAGCTTCAGATCAGATTCTCATGGGCCCCCAGCAGGTAACCCACCCCAGCGCCCTCCGCGGAGAAGGAAGGCCGTGGGCCTTTGCCTGAGTCCGGGCTGCGCAGGAAGGGTTCTGTTCACAGTAATTGCCAGTGGGTGGGATCCCGCCCCGGGCTGGGCCGCATGAGACTCCCTGTTCTCTGCCCAGGAAGGAGGCCATCCGAGCACCCAGGTGGCTTGGCTCCTTGTCAGGGTAACAGGAGCAGCTCAGAATCCAGGTTTGGGGGCAGGAAACCCGGGACTGGGAAGGGAGATAAGCTTCTCTGTCAGGTGGAGCTGATAAGTGGGGCACCTGTTGACTTGGTGCTTGTGCGGAAGGGCCCCCTGGGGTTGCTTTCTGAAGTGCACAGTGTTCCGCTGCCCCAGGCTCTTGCCAGCTAAAGTTGCGTTTACCTTGAAATGACAGGGTAGGGAGCCCGGCAGGCCCTCGCGCACAGGTGGAATCACCTTGACGGCTGCGCCCAGGGGCCCGGCAGGCGGTGCGGGAGTGGGGTCCTCTGCCGGGGTGGCCTCTGCGGCCTCGAGGGCGGGCGTATTTTACAGCCGGTGAGAAAGGCAAGGTGTCCCGGTCCCGAAGCAGCTCTGCTGGTGGATTTGGCCTTCGTGTTGCCGTGAATACTCACGCTTGTGCCGCCTTCTCTCAGAGGACGCGGACTGCGAGGGAGGCGGACCCGGGCGCCCGCTGGGTGGCTGCCGTCCTCTCCTCGCACCATTGAGCTGCAGCTTTACCCTGGGCCTGGGGGGGAGGCCCGGGTGCTGGGAGGGCCCTGGGAGGCGGAGGTGGAGCTCGGAGCCGGGCGGCTAGGTCTGGGGCCTGGTCCTACCCGGGCTGGCACTGCGACCTTGGGTGACTTACTGAGCCTGTTTGCTCTGCAGATCTTGATTCTTAAGTGGAAATACTTCTAGAAAGGCCGAGTCGAGGCAGGTGGGCTAAACAGGTCTGTGTAGGATGCCCTGCAGTCAGCTCCGACCTGCTGTGTGTCCATCCCTGACTTTGAAGGTCAGTGCCGTGATTACCCTCCATGCCGTAATGAGACACCCGCGGCTTGGGTGGGAACCTCCTCAACACCCCTCCCCCGAACGTGCCAGTCCCTGTGTGAGGTGACCGGGTCACACCGGGGGACGGACACGGCCCACGGCCCACGAGGATTGACCCGCTGTGAGGACGGAACCCCAGCAGCCTGCACCGTGCCGGCCCAGCAGCGTCTGCAGGTACATGGGGCGTCCCTGCTGGGGCTCCCCGGCCTGTGAACCCGGCGACAGGTTCCCGCTCTCCACTCCCACGGCGCTCGGCCGGACACCGGGCAGTGCTTGTGACGATGCGGTTTGGGGCAGCTCCCAAGTCAACTCTTGCCTGGGTTCCAGAGTGTTTTTAGTATTCGGCCCGGTGGGGAGGAAAACACCGCATCCCCCTGTGTGAGACCTTTTGCTTCAGGACGTTAGGCAAACCAGAGGCTGCATCGCATCCACGAGGCTGCGGGCGGTTAGCTCTGCACAGGCCCCTTTGGGGCCAGCCTGGACTCAGCCACGGACGCCTCCTGGATGCTTTTGCCTCTGAAATGGTTTTGTGTGTAATGTCTCCCTCTAGTGGCCAGATTGATTTTTGCTGTTTTTGTACAAAGGCTATTTGACCTTGAAGACCCTTTTATAAAGGGGTGCTGTGGATTTGGGGAAGTAAGGGGGAAGGGGTAGATAGGGGGTACAAAACGTTATTCCATAGGCAAAAACTGTCCTCCGGTATTTCAGTTCCAGCCTCTAGATTTTCGAGGAGAAGGTGGACATGGAGAATGCACAGGGGAGCTCGGAAGGATCTCGTCTTCTTACGCCGACGACTTTCTGAATTTGTTGCCTGTATTGATAATTATTAGTAATAACTATCAAGCGGCATTATAAAATCCTTTGTTATTTTTTAATTGTAAGAATAAAATGCATAAGGTAAAGCTAGAAACTAAAAACGATGCAAAGTATCCTTAGAAGCCCTGCACCGTGACTTCCGGTCTTCTCCCCAATCTGCCTCAGGTGACCCTACCCAGTCAGTGTCTTTCCAGACCTCTTTCTGTGCGCTCACAAACATGCCCACGTGCACACTGATATACATTAGATGCAGATTGTGTTTAAATTCATACATAGACACCCAGGAATCACATACATTTTTTAACACCTCATGAAAGTGCTCTTTTTAAACAGCTGAGTTGGTTGCCCACCAAAGCCAGCAGGTGTTTGCAGACAGCGCTCTCCAGCTGCCCCCCCAAAGTATGATCCTTTGTTTTATTTTTTCCCCTCAACCTAGGATATTTTCCCTTTTTTTTTTGTCCTTTTTTAAATTATTATTTTATTATTATTTTTTTAATCCTCACCCAAGGACATTTTTCCATTTTTTGTTCAGTTAGATTGGGAGGGAGAGAGAGAGAAAAAAACATTGACATGAAAGGGACACATCCGAGTGGCTGCCACCCGCACGACCAACCAGGGCCGGGGACAAGCTGCAACCGAGGTACGTGCCCTTAGCGGGGACCAAACCCGAGTCTCTCCAGACCGCAGGCCGACGCTCTAACCGCTGAGCCAAACCGGCCAGGGCAATTTTTTTTTTTTTTAGATAGAATGGGAGGGAAGAAGGGAGAGAGAGAGAGAGCATTGATGTGTGTGAGAGCCACATCGATTGGTTGCCTCCTGCATGACCCTGACCAGGGCCGGGGATCAAACCTGCAACAGAGGTACGTGCCCTTGACCAGGAATTGAACCCGTAACTCTTCGGTCGGTGGGCTGCCGCCCTGCCGCTGAGCCACACCAGCCAGGGCTGATCGTGTGTTTGGATCAGCACTTTGTCCTGTCATTCTCTGTCTCTGAGGGAGCTGTGGCAGAGAATTAAAGAGCCTAGGAATCAAGCAAGAACAGGGAAAATTCTTTTACAAAGTGAACAACTTAAATCTCCCAGAAACAGATATTTAGCCTATCAAACTGGCTTCTTCAAGTGACGGCCACTCCAGGAACATGTGGTTCCGGAAGCAGCTTATCGGAAGGATCTCCCCAGCGCTGCACAGCGTCCCCGGGGAGCACCGTCTGCAGTGAGGCCCCGGCTTCCGAGCTGAGCGGGCGGTGCTGCGCTGCCGGTGAACACCCCGGAAGGTCACCTCTGCCTTACTCCTGACGGCCGGCCGGGCTACAGAAAGGCCACATGGCATCAAGAGGGCGTGACTTTGCCTGAGATGACGTTTTCTCCTTCCTGGGTATTTTCCCGGGGCCCATCTGACTTCTGCAGCACACAGGGTTACAGAGACCATCGCCCACGACGTGTGTGGGCAGCACGGGGCCTCCTGGTGCAGGGCTGAGATGGATGGGCAGAATTAATCTAATTTATTAAATTATACCCCAAGTAATTAGCTCCCAAAATATCTAATAACCCCCACAAGGCGCTTATTTTTTCCACATCCTCGTTTTAATAAAGGGACTTGGAGATGTTTGCCCCTCCAGGGGTGGTGGTTTTTTTTTAAGAACAGTGTATGGCCCTGGCCGGTGTGGCTCAGTGGTTGAGTGTCGTCCTGTGCACAGAAAGGTCGCCGGTTCCATTACCGGTCAGGGCACAGGCCCTGGTTGTGGGCTCAGTCCCCAGTCGGGGTCGTGCAGGAGGCTGCCAATGGATGGTTCTCATGTTGATGTTCTTCTCTGTCTCCCCTCCTCTCTCTAAAATGAATACAAACATTTTAAAAGATAGTTTATTGAGATTTTGAAAGGGAGAGACGGCAATGTGAGAGCGAGACATCAATGGGCTTCCTCTTGCATGCCCCCCACTGGGGATTTAACCCGAAACTTGGGCACTGAACCGGTGACCTGTTGGTGCACGGGACGACACCCCACCAACTGAGCCACACCGGCCAGGGCAGCCCCTGCGGGAGTTCACATGGGATGATAAGACTCCACTCCCTTTGGAGGTGCTGGCCAGCCTGAGGTCTTCCTGTGAACACCTGAAGAAGGGAGGTGTTTGCAGTTCTGAAGTCCTAACGCCACAGGCTTCGGGGGACAGCCAGGCGCACACGAAGTCACCGTCCTGGTCCTAGTTTTCAACAGTGGGGATGCTCAGGTTCATCAGGAGGTGACCTGCACACCCCTCTCCCTGATTCCTGTCCAGGAGCATACGAGGAGTGAGGCCCACGTGAGACAGGCTGGGGTCAGACTGTCGGCTTCATGACCAGTCAGATCGGTGGTGGAGCAGGTACAGGGACACAGCCACCAGGGTTTCCTTGGACCACTGTGACTTGGTGCTTGCGCCAGAAGACCGACATGACAGTGGGGGAGAGACTCACCCACGTCGAGAGGCGGCGGCACGGGACTGCTGGCACGGCCCGCCTGGACTCCTTTCCATTTGCTGGTTTGCTGCCCGAGGCTTCCTTTCCCGAGGTGGCCCTGGGGTGTCGGGTGGCTGCTGCAGCTCCAGCCCTCGTGGATATATCCCAGCCAACGGGAAGAAGGAGGGGATGAGGGGAGACCGTCTCCTAAGTACTCACCGTGTTTGCTGGTATCTCATTATCTAGAGCTATCTAGAAAAAGCGTCCGGTTCCTAGCTGGGCAGCCACGTGTCCAGCTGTAAACGGAATGGCATTCTAGATGGGAGACAGGGTACTGCCCGACAGCCTGCAGCCTCTGCCCTGCTCCTGAGTTAAACTCGCCAGCCTGCCGCCCCCGCGGCGTGGGGAAGCGGGGGACCCGGGCTGGAGCAGAGGCTACCTCGGGGGAGCCCGTCCTTCTCCCTCTCCTGCTGAGAGGCCGGTCCTGCTCCCACCCTCTCCTTCCGGATGGACGGCCGGCTGTGCCGAGGCGCAGAACAGGGAGCCGTCGTAGGGCAGGAACGCGGCACACGCCCCGGAACCACAGTGACAGGGTTTCCTTGGTTTCCCGTCCTCCGGCCTGCCTTCATCCCCGCTGCCCACCTGGTGAGGAAATCTCCCCGAATAGTCGTAGGACAGCTCCTCGCCGGGCAGAATGTCCCTGGCCGCGAAGAGCGCCAACCTGGGCACCATGGAGTCCACGCGGACGGGGACCATGAGCAGGTTGGGCTCGCAGGAGTGGTTAAGGAACCTGCCGACGTTTCCGACCCGGGCAGGGTCCACAAAGGTCTCCATCACCCGCCCGCGGCAAACGTGCTCCCGGACGGCTATCACGTAATTCGAGTCGTGCTCCGTCTGTAGCCGAACCCTCCTCTGCGCTTCGGAGAACCCTAAGACCTCACCCGCATACTCGCAGACGAACCGTCCTCTCGGCACGGACTGCAGGGTCCGCAGCCCCCAGCCCTTGTCCGCCGTCCTGAACACCTGGAGCGGGAGCTGCAGGCCCCGCTGGACCACTCTGTTCCTGCAGTGCCCGGGGCACGGGCACAGGGCGTTGCACTCGAACACCGGCTGGGCACACCCGGCTGCCGAGCCCAGGCCCTGCAGGCACGCGTCCTCGTCATAGTTGTCCCCGTGCCGGAGGCAGGCGCAGGTGCCGGGGACGCAGGGCCCGCTGAGACAGGTGCACCCGGGGAAGGTGATCTCCGCGGGATCAGTGTCCGCTCCGGGCCCGGCCACGTGGTCGGGAGTGTACTGCAAAACCGAAACACCGACTCAGCACGCAGGCCGCATCCTCCGCGGGCGGCACCACCAGTTTGGGGCCGAGCTACTTACTCCTACGTGTATCAAAACACAGCAAAGAACTAACAGAACAGTGTGTTAAAATCGTGTCTGGAAACGTTAAGTCTCCAATTTAAAAAATTAGATTGAGCCCTGGCCGGTTTGCCTCAGCGGTAGAGCGCTGGCCCTGGACCAAAGAATCTCGGGTTCAGTTCCGGTCAAGGGCATGTACCTCGGTTGCGGTTAGTCCCCAGCCCTGGTCGGGTTGTGCGGGAGCCAACCGGTGGATGTGTCTCTCTCTCATCGGTGGTTCTCTCTCTCCCCCTCCCAGCCCCCTTCCCACTCTGGCTGATGATAAACAGAAAAATATCCTCAGGTGAGGATTAAAAAAAAGGTTTTTTTCTAAGGTTTCAAATTCTGTGCTTTCATTTCAGGTATAGGAAAAACAACTGAAAAAAAAAATGTTTTGTCTTATCAGAAATTGAAGGCTTTGTGAGCCGCTCTGTTTCCCGCTTAGCCTTGGGTGTTGGGAAAACCAGTGCTGAATTTGGGTTTGGTCTTTCTACACTTATCTGATGATACAGATGCATGTATGTGCTTTTGTTGCGAGTCACCTCAGTCCCTTTCGGGGATAAGAAAGTCAAAATGAGAAATCAATGAAAAATGGCCTTTGGGAGTCTTCCATAGATTTTTTTTTTAAAAGGAATTAAAAAAATTTTTATTTAAAGGTTATCTAAATTCTTAAATATTCTCTGATTATTTATTTATTTAAAAATTATTATTGCTTTTAGAGAAAGAGAGAGGGGAGGAGGGAGGGGGAAACATCAATTTGTTGCTCCACTTATTCATGCATTCATTGGTTGACTCTTGTAAGTGCCCAGGGACCAAACCCCCAACTTTGGTGTATGGGGATGACACTCTAACCAACTGAGCTACCCAGCCAGGGCCAATGTTCTCTGATGTCTTAAAAGGACACTTTGTAGTTCTATTTGAGGCTTCTTCACACTGTTAAAATCAGGCATTTGGCCAAGAAATGGATGACAGAATTCCAAACCCTGTTTGTTAGAGAGGTATTAATAGACACCTTTTCTTCTGCTGACAGCACCCCGACTCTCCCCAGGGGACCCCTCCCACTCCTGCCTTGCGGTTTGGGTGGGGCCCAGGCTGGGAGGGCCTAGACCTGGCGAATCAGCACATCACTCCTGTTCGGCAGCAGCTTCATGGGCCAGAGGCAGGTGCACGAAGAATCCTGAGACCCGGGGAGAGCCCTTCCCGCTGCGCGTGTAGCCGCCCCGGGCCTGAGGCAGGTGCACGAACCATCCTGAGACCCGGGGAGAGCCCTTCCCGCTGCGCGTGTAGCCGCCCCGGGCCCGAGGCAGGTGCACGAACTATCCTGAGACTCGGGGAGAGCCCTTCCCGCTGCGCGTAGCCTGCCCCGGGCCTGAGGCAGGTGCACGAACCATCCTGAGACCCGGGGAGAGCCCTTCCCGCTGTGCGCGTGTAGCCGCCCCGGGCCTGAGGCAGGTGCACGAACTATCCTGAGACCCGGGGAGAGCCCTTCCCGCTGCGCGTGTAGCCCGCCCCGGGCCTGAGGCAGGTGCACGAACCATCCTGAGACCCGGGGAGAGCCCTTCCCGCTGCGCGTGTAGCCGCCCCGGGCCTGAGGCAGGTGCACGAACCATCCTGAGACCCGGGGAGAGCCCTTCCCGCTGCGCGTGTAGCCGCCCCGGGCCCGAGGCAGGTGCACGAACTATCCTGAGACTCGGGGAGAGCCCTTCCCGCTGCGCGTAGCCTGCCCCGGGCCTGAGGCAGGTGCACGAACCATCCTGAGACCCGGGGAGAGCCCTTCCCGCTGTGCGCGTGTAGCCGCCCCGGGCCTGAGGCAGGTGCACGAACTATCCTGAGACCCGGGGAGAGCCCTTCCCGCTGCGCGTGTAGCCCGCCCCGGGCCTGAGGCAGGTGCACGAACCATCCTGAGACCCAGGGAGAGCCCTTCCCGCTGCGCGTAGCCCGCCCCGGGCCCGAGGCAGGTGCACGAACTATCCTGAGACCCGGGGAGAGCCCTTCCCGCTGCGCGTAGCCCACCCCGGGCCCGAGGCAGGTGCACGAACCATCCTGAGACCCGGGGAGAGCCCTTCCCGCTGTGCGCGTAGCCCGCCCCGGGCCCGAGGCAGGTGCACGAACTATCCTGAGACTCGGGGAGAGCCCTTCCCGCTGCGCGTGTAGCCCGCCCCGGGCCCGAGGCAGGTGCACGAACCATCCTGAGACCCGGGGAGAGCCCTTCCCGCTGCGCGTGTAGCCCGCCCCGGGCCTGAGGCAGGTGCACGCACTATCCTGAGACCCGGGGAGAGCCCTTCCCGCTGTGCGCGTGTAGCCGCCCCGGGCCTGAGGCAGGTGCACGAACTATCCTGAGACCCGGGGAGAGCCCTTCCCGCTGCGCGTGTAGCCCGCCCCGGGCCCGAGGCAGGTGCACGAACTATCCTGAGACCCGGGGAGAGCCCTTCCCGCTGCGCGTAGCCCGCCCCGGGCCCGAGGCAGGTGCACGAACCATCCTGAGACCCGGGGAGAGCCCTTCCCGCTGTGCGCGTAGCCCGCCCCGGGCCCGAGGCAGGTGCACGAACCATCCTGAGACCCGGGGAGAGCCCTTCCCGCTGCGCGTAGCCCGCCCCGGGCCTGAGGCAGGTGCACGAACCATCCTGAGACCCGGGGAGAGCCCTTCCCGCTGTGCGCGTAGCCCGCCCCGGGCCCGAGGCAGGTGCACGAACTATCCTGAGACTCGGGGAGAGCCCTTCCCGCTGCGCTTAGGCAGGGGGCCGGGGCTGGACAGACGCCGGGACACCTGGAGGTCTCGGGCCTCGCCTTACGGGAGGCAGGCCCCCCTCCCCCCGTGGCGAGAGCAGAGTGTGCTGTGTCCGAGTTTCTTGCAGACGGCGTCGGGCTGACCGGCACCGGTGGAAGCAGAGGGCGGCTTCAGGAAGGGGCCGGACAAGGTAGTGGGAGATACAAGTGGGCGATGAGCAGCGAGGTCTCCGAGCGGGAGGGGTGGCTGGCGCCGGGGAGGGGGCCACACAGGGAAGCCGGGACCGTGGCCTGTGGCTCTGGGCAGGGTGGTCAGCGTCGTGCAGAGCTCGGACCGGGCGACAGGAGAACACGGCCAGGCTGTCATCGGCCGGGACTTACGCGAGGGACGGCTGCGCGCTGGTGGGCAACTTCCCGACAGGAATAGCACCTCCCCCGTGGGTCCACATGGACGTGAAATAACACACTGTCCTCAGGGCCAGGCCCTGCGACTTCTGCAACACTAGCTTCCTGGAATCTTCCAGACAGTGTAGATTTCACATCGACAGCATCGCCTCTTTCCCCCACTTGGCTTCATCTCGCTCCGCGCTTCCTTTCCAGCTCATGGTGCGGGGAAGGGAAGAGGGTCCGCGGACAAAGCGCCCTCTAGTGGCCGGGGCCGGTGTTCACCAGGAAGGGAAGAGGGTCCGCGGACAAAGCGCCCTCTAGAGGCCGGGGCCAGTGTTCACCAGGAAGGGAAGAGGGTCCGCGGACAAAGCGCCCTCTAGTGGCCGGGGCCGGTGTTCACCAGGAAGGGAAGAGGGTCCGCGGACAAAGCGCCCTCTAGAGGCCGGGGCCGGTGTTCACCAGGAAGGGAAGAGGGTCCGCGGACAAAGCGCCCTCTAGAGGCCGGGGCCGGTGTTCACCAGGAAGGGAAGAGGGTCCGCGGACAAAGCGCCCTCTAGAGGCCGGGGCCGGTGTTCACCAGGAAGGGAAGAGGGTCCGCGGACAAAGCGCCCTCTAGTGGCCGGGGCCGGTGTTCACCAGGAAGGGAAGAGGGTCCGCGGACAAAGCGCCCTCTAGAGGCCGGGGCCGGTGTTCACCAGGAAGGGAAGAGGGTCTGCGGACAAAGCGCCCTCTAGAGGCCGGGGCCGGTGTTCACCAGGAAGGGAAGAGAAGATCCGCGGACAAAGTGCCCTCTAGTGGCCGGGTCAGTGTTCACCAGGAAGGACTAGGCTCTCCAACAGGGCAGCGAAAAAGACGGGTTCTGGAGCTAAACCTCTGGGGTTCAAACATACTCAAACCAAAATGATGTCAAGGAAACCACCTGGTCACATTCCTGTCCTCCATCACTTGTCCATGTGGACGTAGGAACCAAGAGCTGACCCGGCACAGGCGTGTTTCATTCATTAACAGACACTGCCTCCTGCATGCACACGTGGGGGCTTAGGAAGAGCCCTGGGGAAAGGACCCAGGAGGGCATGCTTGGCCCTTTTGGTATTCTCATAACACACGAGTTCCTTATTCCTGGTGTGTACGGAAGTGCATGATCTATCACGCAGAAGTTCGGAATAAATGCCAACTGATCAGTGCACCATGATGCCCTAGAAACCAGAGCCTCGAAGAACTGGGTGGGAAGTTCAGGTTTTATGACGGAAAACGTAACATTATAAACCATGGTCACCCACGAAGCCAAAATGGGGTCAGGAGTCAGCATGTTGAGCGAATACACCTCCGTGGCCAAGCTCATGTGCGATTTCTCCCGTCTCTGAGCTGGACTGGCCTTCACGCTTGAAGCTTGGGCTCTAAGGGGCAGACCGGAGGGCTCCATAGTCGGACTAAACGTGTCTTGTCTTTTAAGCAGATGTAGGTCTCAAGGAAAGGCGTGGTCACGAGGTCGGGGTGCGGCATGGGGAGGGGTCCGGCTCCTATCCATAGCACTGGGCAAGGAGCAGGCAACTCAGGAAATACGCTTTGATGGCTTGACTGCGGTTCTTGATACGGTCTGATCGAGGCCTGACTTTTCTGAGTCCCAATCTGTATCGACAGGCTGGAAAGTGCAGTACAACACCGCACACCATTCTGGGCTTAAAACCCAGGCCTCGGTTCTCAGTTTAACAAGTGCTGTGAAAATCTTCATTCCTTTTTTGGTTGTTTTGAAACACTCGCTACAAGAATCTTTGTACTTGGCCTCTAGCCCCATGGTTTGTTTTGGCTCCAGGCAGCTATTAGGAGACTGTGAGCCAGATCATTCTTTTCAAGGCCAAGTTGAGATCTTAAAAAGGATGTTTGAAGCTGGTTTCAGAAACCTGACAAAGAGCTAGATCCAAGTCTTAGTTAAAGAAAATCAATTCGTTTTTTTTTTTTTTTTCCTACTTAGGTTTCAGTATGCTTGTTTCCAATCTGACATGTGAATGTTCTTTTCTTCCTTTCCACACAGTGCCCAAAGCTTCACTAGACACAGTTATTTTAAACCTGAGGTTTTCATGCCTTAATTCTTGTGCGCGTATGCCTGTGAGGGCAGGGTTTGGGGCAAGCAAGCTGTTTTGACCTTGTATAAGACTGCTTTTGTGCCCCGTGAATATATATATATATATAAGCAAACCAGTTGAAGGCACTTGTAGGCTTGTCACTGAAATGTTTCCTCTTCTTGGTAAGATTATAAACTCCTGGGGGAAGTGATCTTGTCTTCTTCATGTAACTAACTCTCCCCAGAGCTACACATGCTGCCAGGCAGCTAGAACACTGTGCCACTGAGTCTGTCCCCCGATTTTCATTTATGCCCATAACTATAGGTGTAGGCAGCAATCACGAGGCGCTCCCCCCAACACCCCCATTAGCAGTCAGGTGCTCTATCTGGTCTTGCAAACTGAAGGGCGGGAAGGTGCGCTGTCACCATCTGATCTCATATGCCCAGCTCACCGTGGTGCCTGGCACACTGTGGGCACTCAGCTATTTGTTGGATGAATAAAACATACATTGATGTTTTTGACCAGGGCGTTCTGCAATGTTTGGCTTGGAATAAGCTTTTAGGGATCAGTGTTTAATATGGTGGTAGTCAACCGTATCTTAACCATAACCCCTTATGGTTGTGTGAGGGAAAATAAGCATTCCTGACATTGACCTCCTGCTCTGCTCTTTGCCAAAAAAGGCTATTGAGTCTGCCGTCCTATTCGACCCTCGAACAACTCTAGGAAGCAGGACGGACACGAGGGTTCGATGTTGGTGATGGGGGTGACAAGGGCTCTACCTGTTTCTTTTCATTTTCCAGATGAAGAAACATGGGATCCGAGAAATAGCTAAGAGGGTGAAGCCCCAACCATGCCCCCAGGCCCAGGGCTCTTTCCGCTCCAACATCTTTGTTTTTTTTTTTTTAATTTTTGGTCATTCCTAGTCCTTATGCTACATGCAGGGCAAAGTCAGAGGGGTGAGAACAGTAGAGACGGTTTTGAGATAATAGTAGTGAACGTTTCCTGAGAGCTTTGGCAAACCATGAGCTGTATTTAGTTGTAATTCTCCGAGCATCCTGGGGGAGGGGTACTGTTATTTCCACTATGGAGGGAAGACTAAGGCTTGGCTGAGGCTCGTTTCTATCTGCCCAGGAACACGCAGCACGAGGGAGACCCCGCTGTCCCACTCAAGGGGCCAAGTTTTTAACCGTGACACCTGGCCGAGACCCGCTAGTAGGCCCCACGCCTTTCTTACCTACGGGACACCTGACACAGGAGGGAAAGCTCGGCCCCAGATCCCTGAGTCCTGGGGACAGAACCAGAACAAAAGCCAGTTCTCAGGGCTTCTCCTAGGACCTCACGGCACCTCTGCTTTTGCCCTGCAGGGACCTGCCAGTCTAGGGGCGGAACAGCGCGATGCTCTTGTTAAGGTCATTGTAGAATGTTATAACTAAAAAAAGACTGAAACCTGTGCTTTTAAGAGCTATTCTGCCCGCAAACAGTGGTGTGATCGAGAAAGTAAAAAAAAAAAAAAGTCAAGAAGTTCGGAGTAAAGTCGTCCACGCAAGTACGACCACGTGGGAGGCGCACGGAGCACTTGCCGTCATCTCGTCCCGCCCCCTACCTGCAGGACGCCAGCCCCACCCCAGAGGGTGCGCGCGCAGCGCGGCGGTCGTCAAGCCCCGCCCCATAGGGAGGGCGCGAGGCCCTACACGCAGCTCTCTAGGAGACCGAGCCCCGCCCCCTACCTGGAAAGGCTCTGGCTCCGCCCCTGGGGGCCACACGCCCACAGGCACGTTCTCCAGGCCGCACGCGACGTCCAGCGGCTCCGTGGGGGCTTCATGCTCCTCCTCAGACGCCGCCATCCCGCAAAGCTCCTTCGCGGGGTCACGAAGCGCCTGCGCCTAAATGAGCTTGAGCCCCGCAGAGCCTGCTGGGAGTCGTGGTCCCGCCGTCGCACGGCCTCATGGGAGTTGTAGTTTCCTCCCCCTTTCCTGTCACCCGTGGCCTGTGAGGTCAGGCTCGCCTTTTGTTTTGAGCCAAATGCACAACAAACAATACCAGACCTTCCCGGTGCGGGCACCGCTCTGGGGGCACAAGATGAAATGCTGGGGTTTTCCCCGTGAGCCCCGCGGCGGGCTTCGGGGGGAGGTCCCGGGTTCGGGGGTGAGGGTTGGGGGCGGGTGCGCTCGGCGGAGGGGCTGCACCCCGGGCTGGCGAGGAGGTTGGGGTGGCGCGCGGGTGGCAGAACGGCCCGAACGAGGCGCCCGTCCCCTGCCGCCCCGCGAAGGCTCAGTGCCCGCGGAGTCGCTGGGCCCCGGGACAGCGCCCGCCCCTGCCCGCAGCGCCCCGCGCCCCTCCTGCCCCCGTCCCCCTGCGGCGCGGGCCCTGCTGTCCCCAGAGGGAGAGCGCGCACAGTGCGAGCACGGCCCCCCGCCAACAAGGCTGTGCACGTGGGCTGGTGCCCAGACCGCGAAGCCCAGCGGTGGTGCTTTGGGGCTCAGCGCCCCCCGCTGGCGATCTGCTCCGGCGCCCGCGGGGTGAGCTCGCTGCCCGGTGCGGAGCGGGCCCCACGCCTTGGCCCGGCCTCCACCCCCGCGCGAGCCCCGCGTTCTCTCCGCGGGCGGCCGAGCCAGGGCACCCTGAGACTGGCTGCGAAACTGGGGCGCTGAGGGGTGCTTTGGTCGGCGCGTCGGTGGAGAAACAGAAGTCAGCGCGCGGCAGGGACGGGGCCCTCCGCTCCGGACACCTGTCGTTCTCAGCCCGTCCCTTTGACTCACAAGGCGAAGCTGTCTCTCCTAACAAGCATTTCCCGTGGGCTTAGGCCAAGTCGCTGTGGTTTCTATCTTTAGTCAAAGAACTTGACTAGCGAAAAGGATGGTGTCATTACCGTCATTACTATTAGAAAGTGTGGGCTGGATCATCAGCTGCTGTGCACTTAGTTGACGTCTATGAATATTTGCTCATTTTAAAAGTTGGTAAGTTAATGTGTTTTTTTTTTAAAGGTGCTAAGTTGATTTTTTTTAGCACGTTGCCTTCCTGATGTGTCTTCACCAAAGAATACTTCCCCAAAATAGTATGAATAGAAATGTATATCAAAAGGTAGTAAACATGAAATTTCTATTCAGTGGGAAGGATACTAATGTAGTAATAATAAATAATAGTTATATTGCACATAGTATGTGCCTGACATGGTAAAAAGATAGCAAACTAGAAAGTAAGTTGGACAGGAAAAATGTCTTTTTAGTAGCTGACATTCTATGTCCTAGTGTTTGGCACCTGGATCATTTTACAATAAGGAAAGAAATGTGACACCGATTAAAGTAACTTGAGAGGTGTATTTTACAAAGTTCTGATGCTACAGTCTTTACACTTTCCAGAAACAGTCGTTGATGTTTTTGTGTTTAACTGCTAACAAATACATGCTTTCAGCAGAATAAGGAACTTGCATCTGGTCCGATGTTTTTATCATTGCATTGGGGTTTAATGAAAGCCATCATTTTCTTTGTTGATATGACAACTAAAAGCATCAAGATACAATCTCATTCAGAATGTTGTTAGTGTAAGTACTTTGGTTGTAAAGTAAATATCCAGACGGGTGATTATACAATAATAACTCATAATAGTATGCAATCAAATGGGGATTGTTGATAATAGGTGAAGAGATGAAAGAAGAGAATTACGTATTTAACCTGAAATGTCACCAGCAAGGAATTAATTTCACTCATCAAAGACAGGATTAAATTTATTACAAGGTGTATTCAGATACTGTTACCAAAGCTGTGAGAACAGACCCATGTTCAGATTGGAAACAAGCATATTGAAAGCTAAGTAGGAAAAACAAAACAAAACATTAATTTTCTTGAACTAAAAGTTGGATCTAGCTAAGGCTCACGGGCCAGCTTGAAGTTTTGAAAGCAAAGACGTGTGTCCTTCAACGTCTAGTACCAAGTGTCTTGCTCCAGAGAAGTCTTGTTTCAGAACCTCGAAGCCCAGGTCCACAAGGGTCTACAGAATAATTTCACCAGGTACCCCCACTATTATCTGAGACCGGAATTCTTCTTAGGGATCGTGTTCCATTTCAGCTTCTTAGAATTCTACACTCCCCCAGCTTTCTGGACCCCGGCTGCCATCTTCACTCTGGTAGCTCCAGTCCTGGTCGGTGTTTGGAAGGAGAAAGGAAATGAAATACAACAACAAAACCCCAAAGACTGATGCAAAGAATTCTGCTCATGTGCTCGCAACTCACTTGGTTCAAGTAGCTGGAAGAATGTCGATGACTTACACTTATTTCAAGCAGAAGAAATTTGGCAGGAAATACAGAGGAAAAGGCTCTTTTGTTTTTCGTGATCTCAGCGTTAATGTGGAAGTTGGAGCCCTTGCTGGGAGCAGGTGGATCGTGAGGCATGTGTGCAGGGCAGTGTGGACACTGCTGTTCTTTCCCACACTCATGTCCGAGACCTTCCCCAGCGTCTGACTGCAGTGCCTGACATCCCCGGCGATGGGCTTTTCTCCCCACAATGACCTTTCAGAACTCCAGTCCTGGCGGCGAAAAACTGACAACACATCTGTTTTTTCGTATTGCTTTTCTTCCTGACGAGGAGACCTGGGCAGCCAGACTCAGCGGAGCAGGCGGGGAGGGAGAACACCCTGAACATCCACTGAGCACGTCCTACATTCTCCAGCAATGTCCAGGCACGTCCACGAGGGTGAAGATGCTCCGAGCACGTCCTGCCTTCTCCAGCAATGTCCAAGCACGTCCACGAGGGTGAAGATGCTCCGAGCACGTCCTGCCTTCTCCAGCAATGTCCAAGCACGTCCACGAGGGTGCAGGTGCTCCGAGCACGTCCTGCCTTCTCCAGCAATGTCCAGGCACGTCCACGAGGGTGCAGGTGCTCCGAGCACGTCCTGCCTTCTCCAGCAATGTCCAAGCACGTCCACGAGGGTGAAGATGCTCCGAGCACGTCCTGCCTTCTCCAGCAATGTCCAAGCACGTCCACGAGGGTGAAGATGCTCCGAGCACGTACTGCCTTCTCCAGCAATGTCCAGGCACGTCCACGAGGGTGCAGGTGCTCCGAGCACGTCCTGCCTTCTCCAGCAATGTCCAGGCACGTCCACGAGGGTGAAGATGCTCCGAGCACGTCCTGCCTTCTCCAGCAATGTCCAAGCACGTCCACGAGGGTGAAGATGCTCCGAGCACGTCCTGCCTTCTCCAGCAATGTCCAGGCACGTCCACGAGGGTGCAGGTGCTCCGAGCACGTCCTGCCTTCTCCAGCAATGTCCAGGCACGTCCACGAGGGTGAAGATGCTCCGAGCACGTCCTGCCTTCTCCAGCAATGTCCAAGCACGTCCTACATTCTCCAGCAATGTCCAGGCACGTCCACGAGGGTGAAGATGCTCCGGGACTAAGCTGTCAGCACACTGGCCCCAGACACATGTGACTGTGTTTACTTGGAACATGGCTCGTACGACTGACGAACTGAATTGTAGCTTTTAATCACTTTAAATTTGATATGAGTAGCCGGTGGCTACTGATTTGGACAGCACATTTTTAGACTCTGCACTAAACACTGCAGAGTTTTCTTATTTACTCTTTGCAACGATTCTTCAGTAGGCAGCATTATCCTGTTGCCCGAGATCTGAGAACCGAGGTGCCCGTGGTGAAGCAATTCCTTTCATGGTCGCACGTGTGAGTGGCGGAATGGACCTTGGGCCCCGGTCTTAGCCCCGTCAGAGCCTGCCCCTCTTCCTGCTGGAGGACATAGAGGGTTACAAATCACGGAATTAAAAAATACATACAGTATTTCAGCTTATTTGAAAGTATGTTAATTTATGTAGTGAAGGGCATCATATAACTTGAGAGGTTATTTTTTCTTTTTTCTAGCGCCGTGCCCTTGGGCTTTGAGAAAAACAAGCAGGTTGGTTCTTCTGCCTCAACAGAAATCTTGATGTCAGTGCTGGGTGTCCTGTCCTAGCGCCTGGGAACAGTCTGTTAGGCTCCCGGGTCTCTCTGCCTCGTGCCAGTCAGCTGTCGTTACCAGAACATCTGTCATCTATCACCTGTCGACCTGTGTCAGGTACACTGTGTGTATGTGACAGAAGGGGCTGAAGAACACAGAGCTCTTGCCTGTGTAATTCTGTCTCGGGCAGTAATGCACATGCAGAGCAAACCAACAATTCATGAGTGGCCACAGAAGCTGTGTTAGTTCTGCTCTCTTAGTCTTTTAGTTACTTTAAATAAGTAAACGGAGCAGCAAGTTGCTCCATTCCCGTGGCGCAGAGGCACAGTACGCACTTGTTTGAACTCTGGAAGCTTCCAGCTTCAGGACGGAAGGCCAGAGGTCATGTTTGGGGGAGACCAAACTTTCTGTGCAGGGTTGGGGGCAGTTCCCCAGGGTCGTTCTCCTCCTGAGGTGTCCACTCTCAGTATGTGTCATAGTTACACGGGGACAGACGAGTGGCCTGTGAGAGGCTGAGTCTCTTGCAGCCCTGAGCCCCTTCCCTGGTCCTGATTCCAGCTTCTCTCCCCACCCTTGCGAGGTCTCACCTTTCATTTAGGCTTTCTGTGTTTTTAACTTGCCATTTGAACTTGCTGTGTTTCCTAAGCTGTTTTCAAACCGATGTGCTTTCATTGAGTTTCCGCTCTGGAAGATTCCATCCCGTGTTCCGGAGCTGACCCGTGAGCTCGGCATGGGCGCGCATTGAATCCAATTGGCTTTTCCCAGAGCCTGGACATTACCTGGCGGAGGACACAGGAAACCTTCTCACTGAGGATGAAATCTGTGGGTTTTCTCATCACCCCTCAGCAAGTCAATTACCGTTTTCCCCCAAAGCGGGTTTTTGTCTGTGCTTGGTCATTCGAACAGGGCGCTCAGACGGTGCTCTGCAGACCTCAGATGGGGAG